GTGAGTGGAACCACTGTAAACTCATGTGCAATGGCAGAGAGAGCGTCATTAAGCCAGCTCACGCAGCGCGGGTTGTATGGGAGAACTGCCAGAAGATCCTTCTCCTAGGTACAGGATGAATTGTTCTTGCGAGCTTTGCTGGCCCTAACCCCCTCGCTTGTATGTCAAATCAAACTGAAATCAAAGCCTTGAGGACTGTTACGGTTAAACAATCACTGGTTTCTTTCCATGAAAACTGAGTTGCATAATTAGTGCAACTTTTTACTTCTGTTTGTTTTTTCTCCCCTTGATTAGGGTGATGACAATTGGTAAATGCTGGCTCAGGGTCGATTAGGAACTTGACAAGGGTCCAACACTTAAGTCTGTCCTTACTGCAGTTGGCTTCATCCGAGTGGTCGCGGCAGTCAGGGTCCCCATCACAGACCCAAGTGCTATGCAGGCACTGACCGTTGGCACAGGTGAACTGACTAGCCTGGCAGGTGGAGTAATCTGAGGGGAAAACCGCAACAAGGCCAACAAGGAGAATCAGGAGCCGAAAGCAGCATGGTGCACCACCATGCTTGAAGAAACTACACTTTAAGTAACGAAGGAACCATGCGGCGCAACTGCAGTGGTGGAAGGAGGGCACTCATGAACGAATCCTTAATAACAATGTAACTGGACATTCAAGACAGCCCCCTTCAATGGTAAAAAGCACTGGGTTGGGTTTTGTTCAGGACTGTCGTGGAACTTCGCTTAAATATCAATGAACATTAGGGCCAAAACCCAATTGACTTCTACCTCTTAATCAGAAAACATGACGGCATCAACTGGCAGTGGCTTGGGGTAACACAGACAGGGTTCCTATACCTAAAAGACAATTAAATTCCATGACTTTTCCACGATCAAATTATAAACATTCATTCATGACCCAATAATGCAATTTCTTTGACTTTTCAGACTTTTAAAGTTGTTAATAAAATCACGCCTTTTATGCACTTATTTCTGATAATAGAAATCACACACAGTGTTTGAAAAATTACACGACTTTTCCATGACTTCAGTCATTTTTACTTTGATTTCTCCAAGCCTGGAAAACAAGACCAAATTTCTATGACTTTTTCAGGCTATGGAAACCCTGCACAAATCAATGGAAATTGGTAGCGGTGTTTTCCAGTGGCTTCCTTAGACTTGTGTGTTATTTCAAGCCTTAGCCACACCTTTCGGACACTGCTATCTACAGTCTTTTTTCCACCCTAAACAAGCCATACGGTTGGTAAATAAACAGTACATGTACGCAAGATCGCAATACATACTGCCCAGAATTTTCTAAGGTTAACCAAGCGAGACCTTCTACGTGCTTCACTTTGCAGGGATTTGCGGCAGAAGGCTTTCCTTTGGCTTACCGCACGTGTCTGGTTCGTCAGATCCGTCGCCGCAATCGTCCTCTCGATCGCACACCCAGGCCAGCTGGATACAGCGCGTGTTCATGCAGGCGTACTCGTTGGTGTCGCAGAGGGTCACGTCTGGAGGAAACGTCAGGCAGAAGCTTACGTCAGGGATGTGTGAACTTTACATCCATCCTCAACAGTTTTGTGGAATGAATTATGTGATTGTAAGGCTTTGTGCGAATAAATTCCTGACCCAGACCAATTGTTCAACAAGAAAAAGCAGCAAAGGTACATTGTCAAGTTTACACTGTGTCGACTTGCAGCAGTACTAAGATGGGAACCAGAATGTATACTGCTTGGTTGGAGGTAGCATCCTAAGATTATTGCATGCAACCATAGGCAATGGCCTAGTGTTTCGGACCCAGTGATGAAACTCAAAAATTTCCCAAATACCCTGAAATCCTAAAAACCATGAAATATCATAGTGGTTGTTGTGATGTGAGCGTGAAGCCCCTACGGCATGGGGTCCGGGGCCCGCTTAAAAGCCCCGTGAAATTTTGGGTTCTAGATGCTCTGATGTGCAATCTGAGGCATTTTCTGGCACATTTTCCTGACATTTTCTCCTGTTAACAGCATGAGATTAAGGTGAGATTTGTAGGCCTAAATTGAACAAGTTGGCATCTCTGTAGACAGGATCAGCAACATTCGGAGGTGCACCGTACGACACGGGCCTGTCATTGGGCCTAGCGCCTACTTGGGACACAACCGACAGCTGGTGGGTTATCTACACAGTCAACTACGGCCCAGCTGGAATGGTAGGTGTATTGTTCCTTACCTCGCGTATTTTGCCATGTTTCTTTGACTTGGCATGGTTTTTCATGTCCTTCTTACCGGAAGAGCTGTACTTGAGTCTGTCATATTTTTGCACCACGAACAAATTTCACATCCCGGCTGGTCTATTTTTCCGGACGTAATGACTGTAATTCACTCACTGCATCCTTGTTCCATGCGTTCATCAGCGGCGTCCCCGCAGTCGTTATCTCCATCACAGACCCAGGACCTCGGGATGCATCTATTCAAGGCCTCGCAGCGGAAGTGGTCGCCGGCACACGTCACATATTCTGCAAGAGTTGGTATTTTTGAAAGGTCAGTTTATGGTAGCTGACAGGCAATAAAATCTTTTGCATATTCAGTGTCTTTGTTTGCAATGAGATTTTGTTTCTGTAAACCAGAATACTTCATGCTCTTTTAACACCCAGTTGTTTTAAGTAAAAATTTTTTGTCAAATAACTTCACAAAGTGAAGTTTTCAGCCATTTTTTTAAAAATAAGTTTTACACGGGGTAGGTGCCTGTGTTAAAAAGAGTACCTTTTATAAATTTTTCTTAATCCAAAATCACAGGATATTTGCCAAAAAACCAACAGTACAGATCCTGTACTCGACACAGCACGTAATTGTTAAGACAATTTGCCCGACATGAGGCCACTCAGCGGTAAGATTACACAGCTGCAGGAAAAGGATATGGAAAGACCAAGTGGAAGAAAGAATGGCACGTTTTGTTCAAATTTGCTTCACCAGGTACATGCAATTGGCAACTGGAGAGGATAAAGAGAGCTCTGGGGGCAAAGCCGTGCATGGATTCCTGGAGAGAAATCGGCCGAGGGAGTTGAGACTGTAGTCGTCTCTGTAAATCCCACTCCTGCACCCTTGGAGAGACTTACCGCAGTCGACTTCTTCGTCTGAGTTGTCCAGGCAATCATTGTCACCATCGCACTTCCACTTCATGGGGATACAGTGGCTGTTGCTGCACTTAAATTGATCGTCCTTGCAGGTGTAGTCTGAGTACCCCGAGGGAGAGAAAAGAGGGGGAAAGTGTCAACAAAACATTCACTTGTGAAACACGGCCTGACGTGAGTTGAAATTTACTTTTGAGTTGAGGAGCACAATCGTGAATGAAATGTCAGGCAGGGGATGTCATTTTAACATTGCAAAAATATGCAATCTGTTCTTGAAGCCAAGTTTAGGCTACTAGAGGATCTTTTCTGGTAACCTCTGCAGAAAATATATGCTGGATACTGAACATAACTGACCAATGATTGACAAATGGTCTTTACTTGAAATTGCCTCATCAGGAGAACAATCCATGGAAAGTATGTTTTTTCTACCCCTGGAGTGAAGGAGGATGCTAAGTGGTGGGCATTGTTCCACTCTTCAGATTTGAGACCTGGCATGGCGAAGAACACACCGCAGGATTCGTGGCAAAGCCAATATTGAAATTGAGACCCGAAAGGCTCTTTAACGCTTTTTAAAGATCCTTATCTACGTTATAGCATGAACGCCTCATGCTTGGCTGAAGAAACAATATCAGAATGGAATTCACCAACCCATTCTAAGGAAGGCAAAGATAATCCTTAGATTATGCTAGAGTCTCTGCTGATTACGTACGACATCATCTAAGCCCCTTTGTTTGGAGGGCATGGCGTGCCTAATTGACTGGCCCCAAATACATATACCAAGAGACCAAGAGGTAAAGCCTGAACTGAAAATTCCAAAAGTTTACTGGGCTCTCTCCCCTCTGGAGTGAGTTTTTTCCTTCATTTCGCACCAAGACGGGACACTGTATCCAACGGACTTACTGCAACTGGAAGGCTCGTCGGCCCCATCCCCACAATCATCGTCATGGTCGCAGATCCAGGAAGTTCGAATGCACTGGCCATTGGGACACCTGAAGAACGAGTCCGGGCAGGTGGGCTCCTCAGTCAAACCTGGGAGGGAGGGGGAAGAGACCAAGAATTTGACGATAAGTCTGGGTCCAATACTCACAATAACAATGGTACAAACTGATTACTTGTTGACTGTGTTACAGAACTCGATAAAATCCTTGCCATGTGATCAGTGAGTTACCGATCGAGTTATAAAATCAACCATTGATTACACCCCAACATATCGCTGGTCTGTGCTCATGTGATAGGCAAAGTCCAAGCTCTTCACACAACAAAAAATACATTTACCCCAAGCATGTCTACTGTACACTAGGCATGGTCACAGAGGTTCATACAAACACGTACTACTGGCCGAAACTGGTACACAAGAAACAGAAACAACAAATAGATCAAATGTTCTATTTTTGCCTTGTTGAATAGAACAATCAAACTGTCATCTCCTGCACTTAGTTTGACCCCTGTACTTTTGAATATTCATCATTTGCATATCACTCACTTGGTACAGGAGGCTTTCAAGCAGATTTGATTAGAAAAAAAAGGCACACCATTACGTGGTCTGGAGAATCAAACTTGCGCACTGGACACAGGCCAAATTGACAGAACATTCGGTATCAAATATGGTGTAACACGATTTTGGTTACGGATGCCAACAAAATGCATCTTGCAACCAAACCTGCTTCGATTCATTGGCTCTTTTTCAAACTAAAAGTGCGCCAGTCTTGTATAAGCTTTCTACTTTCAACTGCCTAGTCTCCAGGCTTCACTGAACAGTGCCAAAGGCTGAAGAAAATGTCACCAGAACTGGGAATTGAGACCTCAAACTTGGACTGCATTCTGCACTATGGAAACTCAAAAATGATGTTGCTGAGACAGTTAAGGGTGGGCGACAGCATGAATACACTTTGCCTGTTTTCTGCACTCGAGATCACCCTTTAGTGGTCAAATCAGCAACATTGAAACAATCTTAGGTTTTAGTTTGTAAAGGTAACACTGACGATAGCCAGTGGTGGGGATGTTAGAGCTTACTTGGACCGCATCCATGTTCATCTGCGTTGTTGCCACAATCGTCGATGCCGTCACACTTGTAGGAGGGCAAGATGCAGATGGAGGAGGAGTTGCAACTGATGAGCTTAGTGTCGAGCGGGGCACCAGCCATGTTCCTCCGCCAGTCATCGCACGAGATGTCGGCTAAGGTCAGACGACGGGAGAAACAACGGCAAAACAAAGTGAGGGACTCAGACGTGGACCAAAGAAAACTGCAGTTACTGTATAAGTGCCAATAGTGTTGTACTTCGTCCCTCACAAGTCCCTGCAAGTTCAAAGCAGGTCATCTAGTGATATCCCTGCACAGATCCATTTCCTCAACTGCAGAAGTGCTTTTATCTGAGTGTGTCCTCAACTTCCAATCACAGACATGCACAAGAAGTGTCAGAGACTTCCTCTACCTTAGAAAGTCTGACCTGCTTTAGTGAAAGAAACCGCAGGTTGCTTGCCGCAACACTGCTGAAACATATCTCTTGGGAGTGGTATAGAGCTGGTCAAACTTATTTGGGTGGATATGCCCTTCCAAATATGAGGAGAGTATAATAACGTAAACGTCAAGTGTTTTGTAAAACGTTCTTCCTAAAGATCACTCTTCTAGACCTTTTTACATAACAGATAACTTTCCCAGGACTTTACCCACAGCGTTCCTCCGCACAGTCTCCGGTTGGTATCCAAACAAATGCAATGGAAATGAATGGTCAGACAAAAGCAGAAAATGAGAAATAATCATTTCATTTTTTTAAGCTTTACTCTTGCTGTAATGATGAACACTTAGATATCAGCCAACTTACGACAGTTTATCTCATCTGAATGGTCTTTGCAGTCGAGGCGAGCATCGCACAACCCTGTCACGGGAATGCACTCGCCACTGCTACATGTAAACTCCTCACGATGACAGCGACCTGGAGGTTGTGGGAAAAAAAAACACATTTCTTGGAATTCTGTGACAGTGTGATGCTACACAAAGTTTTCCTTTGCCAGAAAAATTACTATCAGCACTGCAACTCCCTGGATGTTTCGTGCCCAAATCCAGCAAACTGAACTGTCAAGGACTTGGATGGTGCCACCCAGCTTTCTAGCACAGGGGGCCAAGGAGAGTAGATGTGTGAATAGTTGTTCAGTTCTTTCCTGAAACCCAGAAACTGAATGTCATTTTCAGCCAATCACCTTCACCTTCAGTTCCTTCCTGAAACCCAGAAACTGAATGTCATTTTCAGCCAATCACCTTCACCTTCAGTTCCTTCCTGAAACCCAGAAACTGAATGTCATTTTCAGCCAATCACCTTCAACTGTAAAAATTTTTTTTTCTCTGGTAAATTACACCAAAACGTGGTAGTTTGACAGAGCATGAACTTCCATCCTGACTGTACATACCGCAACGATACTCGTCGCTGTTGTCTCCACAGTTGTTGTAGAAGTCACAGCGGTGAACTTTGGGGATGCAGCGCCCATTCCGACAGCGGAAATAGCCTCGCTGACAGTCTCGAGTCTCTGCAAAGAAAGTTCAGAGCAAAACTGGCACCATCACGTATCCCGCCACAAAAAGAAATTCATGAAACACACTTCGATGTAAAAATCAGCCTCTCAAAATCTTGTGCATGCAAGTAGCGTAGAGTGTGCACAACGAATTTTAAACTGAATGGGCATAAAAAGTAGCATCTTTAAATGAGACCTGGAACAACCACAGCTGAGTACAGACATGGCAATCAAGTGCACCGCAGACATGTTTTATATTTTTACGACGACGGAGTACACATGCCCTAGATGGAGAGTTTTCTTTTTGATTGGGAAATCTGGCCCTGATTGCGAGGCTTCCGGTGTGTCTCTGCCCAACTACTCTACAACACACGTGTGGCCCTCAATATGCCAGAAGAATGTGTGATGCACATTCTCTAGTCACCTTGATCATGCGAGGCATATCATGACTCATGCCAACTAATCCTGCAGTCCATCACAAGTCATCCAATCTTATGCCAAGTCACAAGCCTTTGGGATGAACTGTGACAAAAGCATTCCCCTGTCATTTTTAACCCTGTTACTAACGACTGGTCTTGGGAAAGGCCCTGTGGCTGGATTTGTGAAAGAGACTTGTGATGGACTCGATCAAAACACTGATTCAAACTTACGGCAATAGGAAAGTCTCTCATCGGAGCCATCCACGCACTGCTGTCTCCCGTCGCAAGTGTCCTCGTAGCTGATACACGAGTTGTCCCCACAGGTAAACTGATCAATACCTGGACAGGTCTGGTTACTCACTGCAATGAAATGGATCCGAACACAGGGGCTACTTGGTAACCAGCAAACGGAAAATCGAGAAAATATAATACAACTCTTCCCGTAATTTCTCATTTTGTTCCTGGATACAACATTTCTTGGCTTATTTCGCTCCAAAGAGAATTTTAACACAGTTCAAGAATCTGTAATAATCAACTTTACATTCCTGAGGTCGTTGTATTAAATGAAAATTTACGACAAAAAGCATCACTCAGATTTTGAATCCCCTGCAGAATCCCACGAATGATTTGGAAATAGCGATTATAGAAATGACATGTAGAGAACATTCTTCATGAAAAGCAAACTTACCTTCTGAAAAAAAAAAATGCTTTTCATTGCTGTTTGTGATTTGGAAATCATTTAAAACGAGCTTTGTACGCGTTGAGAGGTGGAAACAATATCGTGGTGTCACAGGTAGAGGTCAAGTCACATAAATACCCTTGGTGTGCGCAATTCATGGGTTTCAACCTCAGGCCGAAATCTTATCCTCCCATGATGCATACCTCAGTAACTATCCTCAATGTACACATTTGTTTGCAAGCATATGGCATAGTGTATCAGCATGCATAATTTACCAAACTCCTGGAAAGGACAGCAAATGGGCACCAATTAGCTTAGCAATGGTCTGGCCCCCCGTCTTGGATAATGGAGAACTTGCTCCAAGAATCAACTGACTGAAGGTAAACAGTCTCAGTGACATGGCAACAGACATGGCTTTGTGAGACTGAGGGAAAGAGGTAGTGGACAAACCTAAACATCTGACGTCATCGACGAGGGTCTTGTCCTTCGTGCATTGGCAGATGACTTGAGCGAATTCGTCCGTGGTGCACCACTCGTCACATCCACCATTGTACAACCGGCAAGGCCACTGTGTACCTAGCGAGCAATTGCACACACAGTAGGGGGAAAAACTTTGTGACTCGGTTGACTCAAACTTCAGGTGAGCGCAAAAAGAAAGCAAATTTGATGTCACAAGACACTGGCAGCAAAATTCGCTTGAGTTGAAATGGGTTCCACGTTTGCAAATCTCCAGGGCGGATATCTGATCTGATGTCACCAAACTGTATTCGTGTTTGCATTCCCACCAAGTCAGGCTGGCAGTCTGGGGAGTCAGATTGGCGTAGTGGTTCTTTCCTCGCCTTCCACCTCTGCGGTCTGGGTTCGATTCCCCGACTCAGTTCATATGTGGATTGGGTTTTCAGTCCCTACCTGATTCCGTGGGTATTACCCAGAATATTCCTCTGGGGTTTTCCTCCCACCTCTAAACCTGTAACTGCTTCTCACTGTCTCCTCTCTACAGTTCAGGCCAGCTACAAAGCCCATGGCACTTTTGAAGGATTACTCAAACTTCAGTCTTATGCCAAAAGGAGGCACGGCCTACACGAAGCAAACAGCTGAGCTTTGTCCAGGCGTAGGCCATGCCTTCTTTTGCACTGAAGCTTGAAGAAATGTTAGAGCCACATTTTCTCAGTAGCGATTTGTCTGACACAGCACAAATTTCTGTAGAAGGAATTTGCATCTGGGAGACATGAAACATTAAACAACGGTTGGGCAGTATTACATTACAACTATCAATAGTAACCCAAAAGTTTTTAAAACGGCCACTCTGTGAGGGTCAACAGTTTTGGGCATCTCCAGTAAAAACATGGAACAGATGAAATTATCACCTATGAGAGAAGAAATGTGACTTGATGGTCTGCATGGTGGAGGACGGAATGTGAGGTAGCTTTCAGGAGCACCATGTACAAAACATCTCTTTTGTGAGTTTGTGAGTTTCCAAAAAGAATCAGTCAACTCAGCCTTCGGGCAGTAGACAACCACACCACCGAAGCTCCTTCAGCCCTGCCAAAAACCATGTTTCCTACACGGTGCTACCCCAAGCTCATTCACGCAACCGCTTGGAAAACAAAGAGCGCAATGATCTGTCAGGAGGGGAGGAGGGGCGTTGTCACTCACAATCACTGACGTCCTCGGCAACGATGACTAGCCCCATGGGCTGCTGTCGCAGCTTGCTCTGAAGAACTACCACGTCTGCCCCTGTGTACTTGTTGGCCCGGATGACGGAGCGTTTGACCCAGTCTGTCCAGTAGATGAACTCCCCCAAGACGGCTACACCAAAGGGGTGGACTGGCTCTTGGGGGAGGATGACCTTAGAGAGGAACAGCCACATAATCAGAAGATGCGAAAAATTTGGCTTAATGTTTTTTATGGTCTTGTATAATTATAGAGAAGTTGAGAAATCAGTCATCTTCAAAACAATATTATGCTTTAACAATCCCAGAAAATGTTAGATGACCACGACCAAGACCGGTTTCAGGGTGTCTCATGGCTGAAGTGCTGGACACACTGAAGTTATATTTCTTGCAAAAGAAAACTTTAAAACCACAACTGCTTGACCGGGACTGGAACAATCTTTGCAAAGCAAAGTTAAACAGAGACTTCTGCTAGCATCCCTCAATTTCCAGCGATCCCCCCCCAACATTCTAAGATCAGACCAGTTCAAACCACTGACCACTCTGTTAGTGCCATCCAGGTCGGTACGCTCGATCTTGTCCAGGCGGGCATCACACCAGAAGAGCTTGGCTGCCTGATGGTCAATGACGATACCATTGGGCATCTGGATCTCCTCGGTGATGATATCGCTGACGTTGGAGCCCGACAGGAGGCAGCGGGAGATGCGAGGGTGCTCCGAGTTCCAGTTGGACCAGAAGAGGTACCTGTCAAAACCCATGTTGGATTTTCTTTTCACTTTGAAGACTTTTTTTATCAGAAACAGGGAACCTTTGATACGGTCGGTGTCAGCAACCATACCAGTCTCATGTGACCACTCCACTTTTGTTTGCGTCACGTTTCACATTGAAGTTTGTACACTCAAAACGACGCACACAAGTGGTATGGTCGCGTGGGACCAGTATGTTTGCCACCATCGGGCATCTCAAAATCTCCAACTGAATAAGAAAATGTCCAAAGCTACCACTGAGTAAATGGGCCTATCTCACTAAAAACAAGCATGCTAACATTCTTCTTTAATAGGAAAACATACATGTATCCTGTTATAACACAGACACTGTAGACTCTATAGATACAGTACACAACTTGTTAATGACAAAGACTATGGAGACTAGGCAAAACTGGGCCATCACTGACTCTGTAGACTCTGTGTCATTGGTTGCCAGAGCTCTTTTCAATGGCACAGTGCAGACAGGACAAGTTAAAAAAAAAAAAAAGGCTGAAAAATAAGAGAAAATATCAATATGTCACTAGTAAAAGATCACTTTCACTTTTAATTTTCCCTTCCAACGGCCACTTATCTCCCTACAGGCGTATATGACTCGACAACGTTTGACTAGAGTCGTTCACAGTTCAACTTCACTTGCACTAGGTGTATCATGAATCAACCACTGGTACTCGGTCAAAGTTACCCTTGTTTGAAGGAAGATATGAAGGTCGCGTACAGGACTGCACATAAGTTTGTTTTTTTAGGAGGGCACACACTGGCTAAATCGTAAGACTCACCCACTACAGGAATCAATGGCGATTCCTCGTGGGTGATCACTGGCAGACAGCCTGACCAGCAGCTGCTCTGTAGCCCCCGGGCGGTCCACCTTGATCCGGCTGATGGAGGAGTTGGTGTAGCTCGTCCAGTAGATCTCACGGAACACGGGGTCGTAGGCGATTCCCTCAGCCGAGCCCGTGCCTGTGATCACAGCACAAACAGACATGGGAGTTACTTTCCGCTTTACGTTCTGTAACGCCTGCGACTTTCAAAACTTTAAGCTGGAGTGGAAATTGATGAACTGGTATACGATCTTTGCACAGTGCATCCTGCCAGCAATCCAGCAATTGCTGAGCATCCGAGTTCGGAACACAAGATTAAATCGCAAACAGAACGGAAACTAATCATGCAACGCTTGAGACTTTAAGTGATCACAGCAAAATGAGAGTTTAACTTAAAGAGGCATTGTCAGTTTAGTATATTCTGCATTTTTCTCTTAACTGAAGTGCAAACCTCAAACACGAGAGTACGAAGTTGCCTTGTGATTTTTATTCTTCTCTTTCATGGGGGACAGGAGTCAAGAGAGGACGCCAACAAGGATGCTGGGGTGACCCCCAAAACGTACTCTCGATAATGGTCTGGTGCCCGGACCCATTCAGGAACATCTGGTGAATGCTGCCCAGCTGTATGTCCGTGTAGTACAGCATCTGCGTCCTGTAGTCTACGGCCAGACCGATGACGTTGCGGATGAAGTTGCTGTCCATGATGGGCTTAATTGGCACGTTGCTGTCTGTGTCGGCGTGGAGGTTCAGACCTTTCAGGACACTGCCCTGGGAGTACAGAATGTAGGCATCGTATTCTGCAAGGGAACGGAACAGTTGATGAAAGGAATACAAGTAACAAGTGAACTACTCTACACATCGGCGGTAACCTCAGTGAGCAATAGGAGAATGAAAATAGGATGATTAAGTGGGTAAACTCATTCCAAAATGTGAAGATTTGTCACAAAAGGACTGTTTTCTTTCTTCTAAAGTCAAAATTTTAATCAGGAACTTTTTCAAAGGGTCCTTCAGGGTTTTCCGTACCTATTTCAGGATCAATGATTCTTGTTTTATTTTCATGTCATCTGTGAGATTTTCATGACTTCTTCATTTTGAGTTTTCTTAATGCTTAATACAAGATGTTCTGTGAGCTTTAGAAATACTTCAATTTTCTGGAGTTTTTGCAAATTTAAACATCCTGAAGGCAACAGTCCTTGCAAGATCTCCTCTCAAAATGGTCAGCAAACTAACTGGCCAACTCACCCTGGCAGGAGTGGCCATCTTTGTGAAGTATACCGTAGGTACAGCGGCAGGTCCTGGTATTTGGTCCGGTGCTGAAGCATAGCTGCTCACACCCTCCGTTATTGACGGCACAGGCACTTGTCCCTGAGCCCACACAAATCAAGAGTGTGACTGGTTGGAACAGTGAAATTGGTCAACCTTTTGCCACTGATGTTGTTCAACAACAAACTTGTCCCAGATGGGGTATCATTCTAAGCTGAAAAATGCGGACTTAAACAACAAAGTACCATTGCCACAGTTCTCTACAGTGTTTACATGGGAGGTGACTTGACGCATCATCTCCCATGAAATGGTTGAACAAAGCGTGGACATTGCTACCAACAAGTTCATGAGAGCTACGGTCAGAACTACAGGTGTGTAATTTGGGGCACAAATTTCACTATTCAGTTTAAAATAAGATCTCATTCAAATTTGAAGGGAAAACATGAATTTGACTTCTTGAAACCCTGACTTTTGACTGTGTACAATTGAAAAAGTATGAAGTGAAGGATAGACTTTCTCTCTGAACAGTCTAATAAAGAGGACTGGACAGGCACAAGATCAGACAAGTACAACATGATAAATGTGACAGTATAACAATGAAACATCATAAATAGACTTTCTCTCTGAACAGTCTAATAAGAGGACTGGACAGGCACAAGATCAGACAAGTACAACATGATAAATGTGACAGTATAACAATGAAACATCATAACAGCATAATTTTTGGGTATTTTCCAAAGATAAGCAAATAAAAACAAAGAGTACATAGGGGGCTTGCATGAGTGACACTGTTGCTATCTATCTTTTCTATTTAGAACTGCTGACTATGAAAAGAATTAATGGTGAGAACAAAAAAATTAAAGACTGTTTTCACTGCTGGCTCTGCCAAAGCCGATTGTTCTCCATGAAAGAGATCTGCACACCCTAATTCATTGTGTTCAATCCTCCATGGCAAGGATTCCAAATAAACTATGGGTGACATTAAGCAGAGAGGAGCATCCACAGCGGTTCTTCAACACACTTTGGTGATGATTCTTAGACAATCCTATCCTAAGACAAGCGGAAGTAAGTAACTAGGACCCTGCTAACGCTGAACTGAATGGCACTGTTGGTGGACCACTTGCTACAGTGCATCTGATGTCCAGGTATTTAATAGTCTGTCAAGGATAGGATCTTTTTGACTTTGCCGAGTCTTGTTGGAAAATCATTCTTCAAAAACCAAAGTAGTGTACATTGCAACAGAAGTTAATGCAGTGAATGGGAGTAGAAATTTTGTCAAATAGACATAACAGCATTGGCCATTTTACAAGGCATGAAAATATTCTCCCACTTGTGTGATAAGGTAGGAAGATATTTTCCCATTCATGTGAAAAGGCACCCAAAACTGATTTCCCACTAGTGTGAAAAGCTGTGACAATGTTTTCTAATTGTGACAAACTGTTTTTACATTGTGTGAAATGAAAATAAATTCCGTGGGAAGGGCCAAAAATATGAAAAAAAATTTCTATTCCCGGACTGACTATATCTGACTCACCGTTTTGCTTGGCCTTGCTATATACATGTATATCTTTGACCGGTAGACCTAGGTTATTCAGCATGACAACACGTCCTGAGCCATCAGACTTCAACGCCCGCTGTATGGAACCACTCTTGTGTGTCCTACCAAAGTAAGAAGAGAACAATAGTTTCAGTGACCTCTCACTCGGCAGGTAGCATGCAAAATGCACAACTACTGACAAACTCAAGGCAGTTTAGACTGACGCATACTCAGTTTTAAAAAGGAGGTTGTGACGTTCTCACAGCTCAGGAATAAGTGCATACACTACAATTGACTTCTAGAGGTTTAACTTCTACAAAATTTACGACAATGGAGATCACATTCCAAGGAAATGACGAAGAATATTTTAAGCCTTACTAAAATTCTTGAGGAACAAAAGCAGTTTTTGCAGTTCAAACTGTTATTGTGCTGAACTTTCTACAATCATTTACTTGATTCAGTGTTGCGAAGTTAAGTAGAGTACCTTTCCACTAGCAAGAGTACTTCTCATAAGCATGAGTACCATAAAAAGGACTTGAGTAACGAGTAAGAGTACTGCAATACTGCTTTGATTCACAGCAAAAACTCACTGAGAAACTTTGAACACAAACTAGTGGGTTAAGACAGTCGGTACCACAGGCCTTTTCAGACGCACCTGTCCGTCCAGTAAATGTAGTCTTCAAACACTGTGATAGCAAAGGGGTCAAAGAGGTTGTCGTCCAGGATGGGCTTTCTGGCATTGCCGTCAAAGTCCATGGTGAAGATGGTGTCAAGCCTGGCATCGCACCAGTACAGAGCGCCCTCGCCGTAGTCGATGGTCAGCCCATTGGGCCAGCCAATGTTGTTGCTGACGATGGTGGTGCGATTGGAGCCGTCCAGCCGGGCACGCTCTATCTTGGCTTGGGAACCCCAGTCTGCCCAGAAGAGGTAGCTGAGGGGGGTTGAAACAGCAGAAATTCAGTTAATCAAAGAATTCAAATGGTATTGACCAATCTGTTTTGGCTTTTATGGTGACTTCTTTTCTTCCTTCTCTTCATGCCCGAGTGCACAAATTCTGTATTAGAGCTGCTGCGCATTTTGAAAAATGAGCCAGTTCAGCGTTTCAAGAAGAAAGGTCATTCAAAAACAAAGCAAGCCAGCTCAGTGGAGAAAAACTAACATTACAACAGCCAACTTGGATTCATCTCTACCCAAACTGAGGCTTGGTGAGAAGAGCCCTCATTTGATTGTGGAAAGAAAGCAACAGGCAAAGACCTAAGTGACCCTCAAAACAAACTCTGAGAGCCATCAACCGTGAATTCTGCAGATGTTGCCTCACAGCCACCTCAGAGGAAACGTTAAATAACCAGAAAAATTGCAAACACAATTCTGGACCTCCTTTACGAACTTCTGTGAAGAGAGGAACGTTTGTTCTCTCTTCAACAAAGCAAACACACACCCACTGAAAGTCTCACAAGACTCGTCACAAAAATAATGCAAATCACTCCACAAATAGGGGCAATTCATATTACAGTGCGCCACCAAGATGTTGCCACAAAGAGGCCATTTTTCAAGTTTACCAGCTGAAAAAGTATGACTGCCTTTGCTGCAATTTGTAATGGAGCGTATGTTTGTCAGAGGACAACTTGGGGAAAGTTTCACAGATTGGGAAGTTCCACGCAAGGAAAATAAGAAAGGATAATGAAAACTCCTCCTCCAAATACACCAAAGATTCTTCTTCCCTGACCAACGCACATCAGGAATAATTAAAGTGCCCTGCACACAGCAGGTGAATTCAATTTGTCAAACTGCACAAAATAGCCTTTCCATAGCAACCTCTTGGGCGGCACCCTGTACTGTGAATCGCCCATACTCAAGATTGGTTTGGTTTGGTTTATTTCCATTCATCCGTTTATCTTGTTGTGACATAAAATTACATTGGTTAATGCACATGGTGAACAGTAGAGGCGGACAGAAAGTTACGGCTAGTACAAGTCCAGGCCCCCATTATATACAATTGAATACAATGAGAAAAGTTAAAAGAAAAGAAAAACTGAAAGATTATTATTTTAAAGAAGAAAAAGGGCATAAGTATGACAGAAAATACTTAGAACTAAAAGAAAAGAAAAAGAAAAAAACACAAAACCAAAAACGAAACAAAAAAAAGATAAATGCGCACCAAAATACATTATTCTGGAGCATGGAGTTAAAACACATCGGCAATGCCACCTACCCCATCTGTGGATGCACGACAATTGCTCTAGGTTTATCCAGACCCTCTGACAGGAGAATGTGACGATAGGTCCCATTGACTCGGGCCACTTCAATCAGGTCCAGTTGCTGGTCTGTCCAGTACATGTTACCTTCACAAGGGGGGTCAAATTAATTTGTGAGGAGGGTCGACAATGCACTGGAGACAGGTGTTTAAGGCGACGAGCACAATGATACACACATTTTGCATTTCAGGAGCGGAGTGTCGTATAGAATGTCAAGCAAGGTACAAGCCTGAGTGACAACTATCGTTTGACCCTGAATCAATTGCCGATAAACCATACACACTGGCAATGCCGTCCTACAGTGGCCCTTGCCGAACCCTTTTTGCGAAACCCATTGTCTTATTTTGTCGTTGGTTGCAGCTCTCCTTGTGCAACACTGTCTGTGCCATCTTGCATAATCATATTCAGGTCAACTGTTCACTCAGTTAAAAAAAGGCCACCGATAACTAGTACTACAACCATGCCACAGAATCTGGTTCCAAAATGGTTGAATCCAAGCTTTCCAAATTAAATGGTATTTAACAGGTTCTCTAATTTGTAAATTATACAAAATTTGGCCCCAGAACCATTGACAGTAACATACATACTCTGAATTTTGCCTAGTAAACCGTCTTCCTCGAGCAAATATTTTGCTCTCCAGCATCCTGCTGTCCAGCAAACTGCTCAGTATCTCAGGATAGTACGGTTTAAAAACTGACAATTCTTATATCTTGACTCGGGCCACTTCAATCAGGTCCAGTTGCTGGTCTGTCCAGTACATGTTACCTTCACAAGGGGGGTCAAATTAATTTGTGAGGAGGGTCGACAATGCACTGGAGACAGGTGTTTAAGGCGACGAGCACAATGATACACACATTTTGCATTTCAGGAGCGGAGTGTCGTAACATACATACTCTGAATTTTGCCTAGTAAACCGTCTTCCTCGAGCAAATATTTTGCTCTCCAGCATCCTGCTGTCCAGCAAACTGCTCAGTATCTCAGGATAGTACGGTTTAAAAACTGACAATTCTTATAAGAAAACAGGTCAGCTTTTTTCCGTATGATTTCTCACCTGCAATCCAGTCCACGGCCAGGCCTTCCACTCGGCCCAAGCCGCTGTTGACGAGGATTTCCCTGGACGTGTGGTCCCGGTGGATGCGACTGATTGCGTGGGAGGACGTGTCCACCCAGTAGATGAAGTTATTGACTGCAGAGGATGAAGGAATGGGGGCAGCAATCAGAAATGCAAGAAGGTTTCCCTTAAAGATAAATTATTTCCTACATCTCCAAGGTGGACTGGTTGCTTGTTATCGCCACCCAACCCCCGAAATGAATGTCTTTTTTGCCATATTTGACACCTTCAGAAATGTATGAAAGACTAGCCACCTGTTTGAGGTTTGAAACATAAGGCTTAATGTTTCATATTTGCAAAAGTAGAAAATGCATGTTTTCTATCTGTGTGACCTCAAAAAACACACAGATGTCTCAAGTTTGAGAATGTTTACAACCTGAATAATGCAGTTGCTTATTAGCATCTTCTCAGATTAGTCTTTATGTGGGATGTGGTCACAGAAAACAAAGATCACGAATAAAATAAAAACAGTGTGCACTAAATTAAAAACTTTTTTGATGAGGGCAAATCAAGAACTAGATTATTTGGGGGGTCAAAATTTCACATATTAAGGGATCCCCCAAAATTGGAAATTTCTTTGGGTAACCTTTAACAGGGGTGTGAGCGTAACATAAAAAATAGCTGAAATCACAAGGGCGAAGCATATATGGTGTGGGGCCCGGGGCCCATTTGAGGGCTCCGGGATAGATGCTCTGGGATGCATTTTACAGTGTCCTGGAGCATCTTATTGGCCACTTCTGTCTTGAAATCTAGGCTATGGATATTTTTAATTTTAGATTTTTTTTTCATTGTGTTTATATTTAGTTGGCTGAAATTCCTGAAAGTTAAATGAATAGGTGTACCAAAATTGTAAATCTCAAGATTTGTAGAGTGAGTTGGCCCTTTTCCCACCTGCATCTAACCACATTTTCAAAATTTTGATTCTTTTAAAGAATGCACATTGCATATCCACGCTTTAGGATTTTTCCAATCCCAGCACAGACTGTGTCACATGCCTGTCTAACGTTACAGCGTATTCCATTCACATCCATTTCCGCGGATTTGTAACTTGAGGATCAGTTTTATCAAAGGCTGTATCCAAGTCGGAACCTCTTTGGACAATTGTACATTTGTGTTGCACTGACATTTTGATGGGTTTACGTCCAAAAATTGTTTGAAAGTCCATACAAAATGATGCAAAACCATGCGATAATACATGACACAAGAACTTGGCGCACCACGCGTCAGCTGTCACAAAGCCCTTTATCAGCAAAAGTGAAAATTTACTAACCTCATTTCGAGCAGCAAATTTACAGTGAAATGTGTGCTACCATGAGTTATAGTGGAGCTTGTTACTTCCACTCACGTAGGAACGGCTGTAACAATTCCCACTGACACATATATGAATATTGATATTTCATTAGCAGCCAATCACAGCACAATGACCAGATGGTCTGAGGATGCTGTTTACACACAAGGCTTGCTGAATAATGCCCACATACTCATGCATCACATGCACGTCCATGTACATGTAATGTACATGTACAGTAGATTCACCGGTGAGCATACGGCGCTCCAGTACTGGGTTAATGTTGGAAAGAGGACGTGAAAAAAATGGGTGCTTGCGGAAAATGAAATTCAGCATATTCAACAAACAAGCCAAAATCTGCTAAAAAGCGGAGATTTCACACCCCTGCTTTTATGGCCTTTCTAAGGGCGAGACGAAATTCTGATTTTTTTCCCCACACCTTTCAAGGGAAGGAAGTGAAACAAATCCCCCCTCCATGGCAAATCACTTTTGCTCTCACTTTTTTTCAGACCCCAAAAACATTTTACTCTATCTAAGAGGAGGACAGCCTCATCGGATCCAGGAGTGGTGTTGGTGACCCACCTGCATCAAAGTCAATAGCCACGGCTAGCTGGAGTCCCGATACAGGAATCAATAGGTCACCCTCGTCTCCTGGTTGCAGGCCAATGCCACGGATGCTGGTATCCATGGAATAAATCAGGAAGGATTCTACGCCTGCAAGTATCAAATAAACATGGAATAATGGAGGCTGTTTGCTGACTAAAGTGAAATTCACAACTTGAAAAAGCTAAAAATAAAAAAATAAACATGGAATAATGGAGGCTGATTGCTGACTAAAGTGAAATTCACAACTTGAAAAAGCTAAAAATAAAAAAATAAACATGGAATAATGGAAGCTGTTTGCTGACTACAGTGAAATTCACAAATTGAAAAAGCTGAAAGGGTTTGACATCTCAATCCTGGCAGGTTTTTTTAACGGCTGCCTTTAGCAAAGATTCTATTGAGATCGATAAGTCAGGCCCTCTCCAATGTGATCGGAGGATACAAAATGAAGGGCAAACGAAAAAACATGGCTTTGTGCGAAAATTTGGCAAAAGAGAAAAGTGATCTGTCAGGACAGTTGCGAGAAGGAGATTTATTTGTAATTCAGGGTTTACACTCCAGAAAGTTGAAATAAATAAATTAATGAACCGTACAAAAATTCATGATTCTCAAAGTGTGCAGAATATTAAGCACACTGCACACAGCTTCAGGGCAAAACATCCTGCAGGAAGGGGGTTCAGACATTCAAGACAATGAGAGAAAAAAATAAAGAAAATCACATGCTGGGTCATGGTACTGCACACAGAGAATCACAAATTAGGGTACTAGAGACCCAAGGATGTCTGACAGATTGTCTTGATCGTTCTGGAGAGGATGTGTACCTAGGCAACTGATTTTGTCCCTTTCATCCAGCCTGTAGCCAGCTGTGCAGGCGCACACTCGCTGTGCATTGGGGAGCGGGATGCACAATTGACTGCAACCGCCGCGATTCTGGGAGCACTTGTTGGTGGCCTCTGAAAATCAGACAGAATGGTGCACAGTTGGAGTTCAAACCATCATAAGATCAGGTGCAAGACCAGACACAAGACCAGATGCAAGACTACCCACAAGCAGTATTGTAGTTGAGTACTTTCCGAGTACTTATGTCCTAAAAAGTTAATTTTGGTCTGAAGTGATGTGTGAAGTGATGGTCTGAAGTCATTCTGTTGCTTTGTAGTCTAACCTTTATGCATGCACCATCAAATGCCGATGTACTTCAGCTTTGTTCCCTCCTAACTAGTTTAATATTTGGTAGAGAACTTGGTTCTCAAAAAGTACTCGACTACATCAATGCCTACAAGGCCAGTCACAATAACAGAGTGAACGATAACAGAGGAATGTTTTTGTTTGCAGTCCATTACATGACATGTGACTTGAACTTAGACTGGTGGTCTTGTGTTAGTCAAGTCCTAGTTACTTAAGATCTGTAGTACTAGGTCTAAAGATGCCTTGACAACAATACCAGAATGATAACTGATCAACTGGTGTTGCTTCTTTAAGCATGCACACGTGAAGGTATAATTCACAAAAACTTGCAACCAAGTGAGGTTCAAAACATGATGCCAACAGGATAGAATCTGTGGACTTAAACCACGCCCAAGCAACATGTTCTGGAAAGTCTCCTAGATCAGAGGTAATTTTCAATTGGCAGGCATTTGTAACAAACATTAGTTTAAATTTGGAAGATACTCAACGTAAGAGACACATACTTGATAATGGCTACTGAACAAATAGCAACGTTAGGCAGTTTTTCAATCTGTTCAGAAGAATAAACTGGGGTATATAAAAGCTAGGTCACAAACATGAATGTGTGAAAAAACCACCATCACACAGAGTGGACTGCATCAGAAGACCACATAAGACAACGACATGGAATCTGTAAAGCTTCGGATAAAATCCATCAAAGGGACGAGTAGCAGTTACCATGACCTGCACCATGCACTTACTTTTCTTGGTGTTAGGGTCGTAGATGAACATCTCCTTGACTCCTGCCAAGTCCCTGCGGAGAATTTGGATGTTGGTGGTGTCACTCTTGCTGACGTACTTGACAGTGTTAGACTCGGCCCAGTACACCTGCGGGGTGTTGTCAAACAAGGTTATCAAACCTGGCAGGCACCATACAAGCACAGGGGTGTTGTTGATTGCCGATTATCCCATGTGAGCCAAATTTCATAGACCAGCTAAGGAAGCAACACTGCTTAGCAAATTCATGTGCTAAGCAAAAATTGGCCATGAGCCAGTCATATGAAATATTCAGAGTGTGACTTTTTTGGCTGGTAACCCGCTTTCGCTAAGCAACTATTTTCTTTGCTGAGCACCTATCTGACTTCTCCACTCTATCAAATTGGCACCTGGAGTTCCTGAAGCTCCTGCAATGCTGACTTTTTGGTAAATATCAATGATAACATCTCCCCCTCAAAAATGCACCTTTTCCTTTGTGACCGTGATGGCTAAGGGCACAGCATCCTCCTCGAGAGCCAGGAATATCTTTATGTCGTCACCAATAAGGGTGCTGGAGTGGATGCCCGACTGATTCCCCTTGTCAGTCCAGTACAGACGGCCTGCTGATTCATCAACGGCAAGACCTGAGGAACAAAGACAGAAGAGGGTTTGTTGTTTACAGCCTCTGTCTTTGTGTTCATTGAGCAGTCTACACCCACTTTCCACAAGGGTACCAGTGAGTGCAACACTTGAGCAATGAATGGTGCTCATATGGTTTTATAACAGTCAAATGCCGTTTTCCACAAAAAAAAAAAGCAATGCATACAGAGGAGACTATTCATTCAAATTTCATTTTCTTTTTGTCATTTAATAAGTGAGCACCTGAAGATCAGCAGTTTTCGGTTTTGTTTTGTTTCTTACTCATTTCTCTGATCAAGAATACGTTTGCATCAGTTGTTGGTCATTGGTGGTTGGTTATTGGATTTCCACCCTCATGTATTCTAAAATCACCGAGTCATTTTAGAAATTAAGATCAGCTCCCACATGAGAGCTCACATTTTCTGCAGCTGAACAAAGTTTGCAACAACTTGCCGATTTAACGGTTGATAATGAACAACGTCACTGATTAAGTCACGGCGAGGGAAGAGCTGTGCTTACCCAGAGGATCGATGAGATTGGAGGAGATCAAGGTAGTCTGGTTAGACCCATCCATGTTGGCTTGCTCAATGGTTGGAAAGTCCCCAGCGTTAATCCAGTACATAGTCCTACAAGGAATCATTTCGGAGTCATCAAAATATAAGCGCAGGCAAGAGCCAGAGTTTATCACCCATACACATATTTATTTTGTCTCTGTACCAACAAGGGTGTTGTGTATACCTGTTCTATCAGGCAAACTCCTAACTAAAAGTTACTATCCAAATCTTGGGATGTATTTGGGTGGCAAACGGTCACTTAACCCTCCTTCTGTTTTAACCGTCAAAAACGGTCAAAAATACCTTCCAATTGATTTCCCCGAGTACACAGACACATATGGGAAATTTGACTGATTTCGACTGGTATGACAACTGTTTCAAGAATGCATCTTAGCATAGGAGGGTTAAAGATAGCAAATTATTACTGACTTCATAAACTGCATGATGACTGGACAGCCTACACAGACCTTCCACTGCAACCATCTTGCAAGGCAGATCTTTCGTTTTACAGAGAAACCACCTTTTTGCATACACTGTGGAACAAAAGCACTGGCCCACACGATGGCAGCAATGCAAACCTTCTATATGCAAGAATCAGGGCCTTATATGAGTGTGGTAAAGCATACTGTCAGACAGGGATGATTTCCGTCTCTCTAGCACCCACAAATTTGCAAGTGGCTCAGACAGTGTTGTAGTCAAGTCCAGAACATGTCCCTCAAAGCCAGTCAACGGTCATGCAGTCCTTCAGCCAAGTCACGAGCCTTTCACAGGCTATTCAAACAAGCTGTCACAAAAGCATTCTGTTGGCAGTTTTCCCCCTCTTACTTCTGACCAGCTAAGTGAATAGACTTGTAATGGACTCAACTACACCACCAGGTTTTGAATTTCAACAAAAGTAACTTGACTGCTGTTTTAAAGTTTTTTATGCTATCTCTGTCGACAAATTTGGATGACGGAAGTCTCCAGAAGCCAAATTTACCCTTCACTTGGCCTGACAATGATACTCCGGGGGATGGTGAGGTTACGGACATGAATCTCATTGCGGTAGCTGCCGTCCAGGCGCGCTATGTTCAAGCTGCTCTTGTCGGGCGAGATGTTGGTCCAGTACATGTTGCGAGACAGCCAATCAATCGTCAGGCTGTAGGCATCCGGTATGCCTTGAGTGAGAAAAAAGAACTTGTGTGAGTTGTTACCTCTTGACAATGTGGATTGAGCGGGTAGGGGAGGAGCTGAACAGGTTTTAAGGCCCATCACCACAGACAAGTGGTGATGGAGAGTGGTATACTACTCATTTAGATCCAAGACATGATACGGTTCAGTATGGAAATCATTACATTGATGACTTTCCACTATAACAACGGCACCCCACAGAAAGGTTTGAAGGCACAACGAAGGCATGCCCTTTCTTTCACCGACACTCGGCCAGTCTATGGCATCATACCCAACGACAGCGAGGAATGGCCAGAAGTGTAATCTCAGCATAGTATCTTTCAATAATCATTCAGGTTTCTAAACGCAGCACTGCCTTCATAAAAAAAAAAATTGGTTTTGAATGACAATCTATTTAATCTTGGCTTCAACGTGAGAGCCACGCATCCTTCAGGAGTTAAGCAGGTGCTATGAGCCGCTTGACAGCAACTATTGCAAAACATTCAAGATGGAGAAAGCTGACGGCAACAGTTACTCAACACCTCTACGCGACACCTCCATAATCTGCATGCGTGAATATTCATTATGCTCACACTATGAGCACCAGCAGGCTTACCTTCAATGACCGTCTCTATGTCTGTGCCGTTGATGTAGGCCCTGTTGATGGACTTATGCTGCAGGTCTGTCCAGTACAGCCGCTGCTCCTTGACGTCATGATCCACGGACGAGGCGTTGGCCACGCTGGGTATGGTCAGTGGAGGGATTACGTTGTGGTAACCGTCGCTCAGGTGCACACCGCGGATCTCCGTGGGAACCGAGATGACAAAGAACACATTATCATCTAAAGAAAGTAAAAAAGGGAATTGAAGTGCTATTTCACATTAACCCAAATCAAAAACTGACTTGTTATATAAACTTGCCAGTCACAGAAACAGCAGTGTAAGAGAAACCCATTACTTTTCAAATTTAAGTTTGGCTCAAATCAAAATTCTTTGAAGATTACTGTCACATGACCAAAATGGGGAGAATTCCTCCTATTTCCAAAGAAATTTTAAAACTGTCCGGACTTTTTCGACACCACATTCATTTTGGGACTCTGCCATTACTGTTGATAAATTTAAGTAAGTGAAATTTTGCATGCTGAAAGACAGGCCAATGCATGCCACATCCAAGAACAGATAAGCAAGTTAGACGTGTTTTGGGGGGTTAACAGGGGCTAACAGTCCTGGAGACATCAGGAGGAATGCTGGGGCAGGGGACCAGTCAAAGCACAGCACAGGTAACCTCACAAAACATCATATGATGTATTCATTCTGCTGGAGGCTGCTTTTTGGCAGTTTTGTGACTTTTAGTCCAAAACGTGAGTCAGGTATTCGGACAGGGCATGCTCAAATGAAGCCTGTCGCAAGTCATAACACAGCATCAATATACGCACATGAAGAGTAAGCCCCATCAGGTCAGGGTGGCTGTCCACTAAGGCTCATACAATGATCACATTCATACTGGAAAGATATGAGGAGTCTGTTCTTGAACAACCTTGCCTTTAAAAATACCCAACTAGCTCGTTGAGAATCCTACCTAGGCAGGTCTTGTTGTCCTCTCCAAGTTGCATGAGGTGTGGGCACAGGCAGGCAGGCTTGTCCCCATTCAGCAAACACAGATGAGAGCATCCGCCATTGTTGGCAGCGCATGGATTCCTGTCATCCGATACTATAATGAGGAAAACAAAATTGTCATCTTCATCTCTAAAAGCACCACGATGATTTTCAAAAAGATCTTCTGCACACAGAGCATTAATTTAGTACCACGATATATTCACTTGAAACCATAATTTTTTTTCAGAAAAGGGATTCATTTTTCACTTGGTTAAGTTGTCTTCAAATACACAAAACTCATTGAAACCAACTTTGGGCAGCCAGAAGAGAGTAAGATTTCAGGAACAAAATTGGTACTTCGATGTCGTGTTTTTGAAGTAAACTCGTCATATGTACTGCAGTCATCACGGCTTGAATTTCGACTTTTGGGGGCACTGCCATTTTGGCCTCAAGGAATGGGATATTTTGAGGGGCACTGCGGCCAATAACAGGGGCAAACAGGACCAACATTTTTACAAATGAAAGGCACTGAGGCCAAGGTGTAAAAAACTCTGCAAAACGAGTTTAAAAACTGGAAAAACATAAATAAGATGTTTTATGTGCTTGAGCCATCCTCTTCAAATATTTTATAACCCATGACAAAATATCACATTACAGGATAGAACACGCACATTTTCTGACTAAGGATTTCTTAATTTAGAAAAAAGGAATTCATACAAAAGAATTCCAGTGAATTAAACCATAGATTAAACAAAGACAACATGTTTTGTTTCAATGTTGATGCATCTTTTTCGACTGCACAGCGCGAGCGAGCTTACTAACCACATCCCCACACCGTAAAGTTGACCAACCCGTTATGTCACAGAATAATCAGTAACACGCATGTAGTTGAGTCTGCTTCGTGCGTGCACATACGTTCCGAAACTAGGGGGACAAAAGACCTAGCCGTAGCTGTGAAGGCCCATCTCAGATATGGCCTAAACCCATGTATGCTTGCGCCAGACAGGTTGCTGCTGCACATTATGCCGGGCCAGGCAGCCGTATGTGCTAGGTGACTCTCCAGACCATGAACGTTAGGCTACAGAACAAAATACACAAACATTAAATCAAGGCCCATTGCAATGCAGGCAAGCCTAGTTGCGTAGTATAACGCTGCGGTGTGCCGCGCCGGGTCTGCCAGCTCGGCTGGCCTGGCCGTACTTGCTCCCATGTGGCGTGAAGATGATTGTGTACCGGTAGACTGCAATACAAATACATTCCCTTGAATGTGAAGTCAGAAACTAAAGAGAAATACAGGTATTTTTTCGAGGGGCACTACTGCAAGGAAGAATGGGGCACACAGCCAGCTTTAGCCGTGGACAAAATGGACAATTTCAGGGCACTGCGACCAATTGTAAGGGCATCGACTGCCATGGCCGCGGTGGCTGCGGTGAAATTTGAGCGTTACATGGACATTTAGCAAAGAAGAGACAAAAACATTAAAAGAAAAGGTTCTGAATGTTGATTTTGTTGTTTGCATTTGGGAAGGTGGTTGAAAGATATTCATTTCCGGGTATGTTTTCTAGCTTTTCTATCATTCTTGAAGAAGCTGAAAACATGAAACTTGGCCCTTTTTCACCAAGCTGCTGACCTTTAACGGAAATGATAGAACAGCCAATTGTAGCTATGATCTCAAAACTACCATGTAAGCACTGCCAATACATCGATATTATCGACAAAGTTTTGATATCGATATTGCCGATGTTAGTTATTTGGTAATATCGGTATATAGAAAATACTGGATTTTGGAGAAATATCGAAACTTCAAAAACATCAACATTGAAAAATGTACCGAAAATATCACTATTGAGGAATGAACTTTACTAAAAATACCAAAGTGCATCGTCACATTGCTGTAATTTTCAGTGAGCCGCAGCTTACATTAGTTTTCACGCTGAGTGAAAAACGTCCCTGTAATTTATACTCAGGGCGGCTTATACAGCGACATTTGAAGAATAAATTCAGTCACCTATCTCAGTCTCGCACTCAATAATTCGCATACACTTTGCCTCGAAAATATCAAAAAATTTATCCTCCAAAACAGAATTATTTGCTAACCAAATGTACATAGACTAGCACCATGTACTGATGATATCGCTTTGCACGGCAACATGTATCCTATCCCATGTAGGCAACGTACGCAATATGGATGCTATAACGTGTCGCCAAAGTGAATTGGATCACACCATTACAGTGTAGGGGTGTACACTTAGAACAATTTACCAGCAATTCACGCCTGTTATAACACCTTGAAAATTAAAATGAATAAAATTGATATATCAATAATATCGATAAAAAAAGATGTATCAGTATCGGCCAAAGTACGATATTGACGGTGCCTACTACCACAGACATTCTGTCACGTGTGAGTAAATTTTGGGCCTTCAAAGATGGCATCAAGTGACTTCCACCACCAATCACGAGGAGCATATGGAGACCATTGGCTGAAGAGAGAACATGAGGAGGAGATGAATTACCATAGGGCTGCCTCTGCGGGTGGAAGACATGCAAGTCAAAGGGCTGAGTCGAGGTCTTCTGCACGACGGTCACATTGGCTCCTGTCCACTTGTTGGCCCCATACACACCATTGCTGCGCCAGTCGGTCCAGTAGACGGTGGACTCAAAGATGGTGATGGCGAAGGGGTGGTACATGTTGACATGGCCCTGCAGGATGGTGAAAAGCTGCGTGCCATTGTACAGGACGGAGTGGATGGAGTCCGATCTGCCATGGGAGGAAAAACAGACTGGTAAAACAATAGGCTATAATCCTGTGTTGACCATCTTGAATTGAAACTGAGATTAAATTTTCATTCTAGGAACCTGAGAGTAAAAATAGTAAACAAAAACAGTTCACAACAAATTAATGCCAGTTTACATGTCGAATAATTCAAAATTTGTGATAAACAATATCAAAATATTTTAAGCCACATTAAAAGAAAAACTGAACTTTAGGCTTGGAACCCACAATAGTCTGCTACCATCCCATTAACAGATTACATTGAAAATGAAAGATTCAGGGAACAAGATTCAAAATGGCTCTCTCCCCGAATAGGGTCTATTGGACCTTAATCTGAAAATTTCTGCGGGATTTCTGCGGATATATTTGTCCCGCAAGAACTGACGGTGGTGAACCCTGACCTGGCATCGATCCAATAGACACGGTCCTCCAGGTAGTCCAGTGTCAGCCCGTTGGGCCAGCCTCCATTGACTAGCTGGACATAATAAATGGTCTGGCGGTCAAGGCCCGCCATGGTAGCCCGCTCGATGCGTGGGTTCTCGGCATCCCAGTCCGTCCAGAACATCAACCTGAGCGAGGGGGGGGACATGACACATGTCATTCACATGTTATACGCTTTTATATTAGCATGATCTTGTCAAAGATGACTGAAAACTAGCTGCAATTGTGAGGAAGCATTCAAAGCAGGCTTTTTTTCTTCAGCAGCTGCAACCTGGTTACCCTTGTTGCATGTAGCATTAAATTGAGTTGGACAATCCTGTCTTCACAAGAGGTAGAAGGAGGTGAAAGTTTCTACTCGGGTTAATGACTGTAGTAATTATGGCCTTGACATACATGTACTGCATGGATAGACAGGCCGTCTGAAACGGGCTTCTAGAGCTACAGTTGCACCTGTTATCAGCACGTTTCTGCATATTTCCAATGGGGAACGATCTAGACCTAGCTCTAGACAACGTATTTGGATGCGGCCACAGTCTCAGATGATCAGTGAAATCTGACCTTTGACACAGGTTCAACTTATTTAAATATCCAAGTATCCACAAACAGTCGGCACTTCATTTCAGGGCTGGGCCAACAAAACAAAGAGAGCATTGGTACTGGCCCCCTTGGATCTGCCACTAGATAAGCTCACCACAAGCACAGAGTGTTGTGTCACATAAAGCAAAGAATTATGCTCCTAAGCGGAGCCACCACTGACTGCAACACAACAGCAAGGTCTCACCCCTTTCGGGGATCCAGCGCTATGGCCCTCGGGTTCTCCATCTGGCCGGCCACCACCGTGGTCCTGAAGCTGCCGTTCAACTTGGCCACCTCAATCTGGTCCAGCTGGCTCTCCACCCAGTAAAGGTTCTTGCCCACCCAGTCCACGGCCAGGCCCTCGGCGGTGGCTAAACCGGTACTGACCACCTCCTGGATGTTCCTCAGTCCTAAACACCAAAAATTAAATGAAAACGTCATGACGTTCTGACACACTTCGCCATCTCTTAATTTGCAACACAGCAGGTTTCAACAGGTCCTCTGAGGAAACAGCCTATGTCAAAGAGAGGTCTTCAGGTAAGTTGAAAAGGGACACAACTGCTTTCACATATGTAATTGTTTTAATTCCTAGATTTTCTTTTTTTTTTCACCATTGTTAAATTCATGGATCCGAGACCAAATACAGTATGTTCACCATGTTTCCTTGATGGTTTTGAACTTTTACCAAGTCTTGAGCTTTCTATAACCCATTTATGTGCATTAGCTTGGGGGGGCTGAAACTGCATTGAAGCATAGAGTGATTTCTGTTTCAAAATAACTTTGTTAGAACAAGGAGTGCTCTATTGTTTCTCTCAAGCTGATTCACATGAAGAAGATGTTTTTAGGAGTTAAAATGCTTGCAGAAATGTTAAACACTTCTACCATCTATTTACTGTGTTGTATGTCAGATTTGAATGCCCTTACCAGCATTGTGAGAGTTGTCGTCCATCCAGCCACGATAGATCTTATCGTCAATGATGTCCGTCCAGTAAATCTCGCTGGTGTTGTAGCTGAAATCCAGCGCGATGGTGTTGCGCAGGTTGAAGACCAGCACGTTGTAGTCCTGGGTCAACAGGTTGATGCGCCGCAGCTGGTTTCGGTTGGAGAAGACGAGGTATGGGATGGCTGGGTCGGTGGAACGGCATGAGATACCGTCCGCCTGCAGCTGGTAGCCATCATAGCAGTGGCAAGTGTAGAAGCCCTTGCCGTTTTCGCAGCGCTGGCTGCAGCGGCCCCGCACTGAGCACATGCGGGTGTCCGGCTCGCATCGGTAAGGGTCTTCCAGCAGCAGCGAGCCCTCGGGGCAGAGGCAGATGCGCCCGGCCGGCGTGTTCTGGCAGCTGTGGCTGCAGTTGTTGGTACTAGGGAAGGCCTTGGTCTGGCACCAGCGCTCCGTGCAGAGGCCACCCTCGTCTGCACCATCAACGCACTGGCGCACGCCATCGCAGAGATTGGTCAGAGGGATGCAGAGTGTGTGGTTTGGGCACTGCCAAAAACCATGCGGGCATGGCTCACCAACTACAAGTGAATGAAAGAAAAAACGACCGAATTGATCTCAGTAAAATCTTACACCCAAAGGGGCGGGGGGGGCCATTCCAGGAAATATTTTACTCCTGAGAGTGATACTACACCAGAAAATTTAAAATCTAATAAATATGGGATCTCTTGACAACATAATTTTGTGATAAGATTTCTCAAATTCAGTTACTTTTCTGTGGCAAAATGTTAAATTTTCTGTGACTTGAGAAGTTATTCAGCATCTAGGACAGCGTCTCACTTTTTTCTCATTTTCTTATTCTGAATTTTCCCATGCCATGAGGGAGAAAATGTATATGAAAAATACAAACACCATTAGCTACATGTATGCATCAGTGACAGAACTATGTCTACTTTTTTTTTAAAACTCCAGCTACGTAACAGTCTGCACCTACATGTATATCTCAACCTGCAGAGTCAGTTTACAAATGTCCCCCCTTTTGCAACCATAGCAAACCAATTGACACTTTGGTTTTCTGAAGCCAGAGTGCGAACTGAATGAGGACTGAATCCGACCAAGTGATTAGCCCGAGGTTAAGGGTAAGTCCAGGGACAGACTTACGGCAATTGAGCTCGTCTGACTGGTTAGCGCAATCTTGAATCCCGTCACACTTCCACCAGATGGGTATGCACTTCCCATCGCTGTGACACCTGAAGTGGGTGTCCGGCTTGCACCGCGTCCCAGGAGCTGTGAACATGGAGGCAAAGGGGGTGCGGCATGAGAAATCCTTTTAAGAATGGCACCACAGGCATTCACCTTGCTCCAGAGCAAGGAGAGGACCACCACGGTAGGAGACCCAAAGCACTGTCAGAACACATCAATCCCTCACACAGAGGTTTTTGCAAGGCTGCCATTGTGCTGGCCAGTGCTTTCGTTTCACAGGGTATGCACAAAGGAGATTTTCCTGAGGAACGAGAGAACTGCCCTGTACGATGGCTACCACGCAAAGCCTCTATTCCACTCCAGACTTTGTCGGTTCATCATGGTTCTGGCTTGATATTCATCACACTGCACCACTTTGTCCTCATATGAACAAAGTTATTCAACCACTTGATGCCAGATGATGCGCAAACACACAGACTTTTCCTTCTTTGTTCAGTGGAGGATGTGTACAGTTGTTTAAGAATCGTTTTTATATTTCCGCAGTTGACGTATTAATGCATCCTGCTTGGTTGGGTCAAAGGGCAATTGCAAAGTTGAAGAACTTGTGGGTAAAAAACCCCGCCCCCACAGACTTTCTAGGTAAGAAAATCAGAGGTTAACTGGTTAACGACTCCACAGTAATACAAAAAAATGGGAGACGGGATTCAAACAAATCTTCAGCTAGCTGCTGGTTGTAGATGATGTTAATAGTAATGCTCGACAACATGAGACCCTGAGCATTTGAGAGAAATTGGAAAAATTATTGACAGCGGAATGAATTCTGGTACATTGACGACAAAATACATGACTAACAATGAATTCAGACAAAACTATAAATAGATGAAAAAAATTGGAAATGCTTCATTCATTTTTGGAAATGTTATAATTCATACAAGTTCTTCAACAACAGATAAACTTTCATCACCTGGTTGTTCATTTCAGGAAGAAATAACCTTTCAGGCAGACTGTACAGGCGTGAAGAAGGGGCAATAGCGGGAGACTTTTGAGACACTTTAATAGTGGGGCAAATATACTGATCCCTGGGGCAAATATACTGATCCCTGGGGCAAATATACTGATCCCTGGGGCAAATATACTGATCCCTGGGCAAATATACTGAACCCAAGCGATCAGTCCAGTATTGTTTGAGCCATTTTGAGTATGTGCACACAGTATGAACGACAGAAATAAGGTTCAGTATACATCTGCTGCCACCGAGCCTCTCGGAGGTCTCAAGTTTGAGGCCATACCAGCAGCCTGCTACCAAACTCAGCACTCTCCCTGACTTACGGCAGTTCTCTTCGTCTCTGCCATTCCCGCAGTCGTCTTCGCCATCGCAGACGGCAACACTCGGCACACAGAAGCCAGTGCCACAGCTGAATTGGTCTGCTCGGCAGATTTTCACCGGCGCAATAGCTGTATGCATGGATAGAGTGTTAACCGGCACAGGTAATACGTAAACAATTCCCCAGAGTTCACAACCAATCATGAAAAGAGCAAAAGACAATGATCAAAAACTATAATAACATCACGTTAGTACTTCAAAATCCTGCTTGAAGAACTGCATGAAAGGGTCCACAATGAACAACACTGCTTTAAATCAGGCAAAAAGAGTTTCATGAAGCCAAAAAATTACCTAGAACACTGTTTCAATTAAATATTTCTGGCAAGCTCAGAATAAGGCCCCAAGAATCATTGGACTACCAATGAACTGACGATGTAAAGAGAAGAAAAACCTTCAAACTGAGAGAAGAGATGTAATGAATAGATAGAGAAGTTAAACATTTACAAAAAAATAATACTCTTCGACCATCGTGAACTTTTCAGCTTGAACTAAGAATTAAATGATCAAGAACTCACTGCAATTATTCTCGTCACTTCCGTCAAGGCAGTCCTCAAAGCCATTGCACCGAAGATCCTTATCTATGCAAATACCTGATGTGTTGCACTGGAACTGAGTGATGTTGTCACATGGGTAAATGCAGTGTAACTCATCTGAGTTATCGCCACAATCGTCACCTGGAAAGGATGCCATGGTATATTGGACGAAGTTAGGCCAATAAGTATAGTTGGTTACACAGTGAAGTCGATCAGTTACGATCAATTCAATTACATTCTTCCGTTCAATTACCCGAAAACCAATTTGTGAAAATACCTTAAGATGGTATCAAAGAATGGAAATGAAAAAATAAACTACTTAAACGTCTGAAACTTTCTCCAGCAATGGAGCAGCGTAAACACAAAGAAACTGGATGATATAAGTCACAAAGATGTTTTTAATGAGCAAAAATAGTCCTCAAATGACCTACTTCTTTGTTTATTCTGATTAACCCTTGCACTGAAAATTAAAGCCTGGGACAAAAGTTATTGCCTTAATGATTAGTCAAACTTAAACTGAAAGAAAAATAATCAATCAATTGATTTATTGATTACTTGAACCCTCATTGAAAAAGGAAATTGATCCAAAAAATAATGAACTTGCAGGCATGGGAAAGATGTACATGTCAATACCTGAAGCCACTTTATTCTCCGTCCCCAATTTGACAATCCTCTCAGCAAAATATTGACTTTCCACTGAGCGAAAAAAAAAAATGAACGTCTAAACTCTGCCCTTGCTTTCCTTACACCCGTACACTTTTTCCCTCTTCAAAATGAGAAGTGGGCACTCACTTCTATCACACACGAAAAAGTTCACAACGCAATGCCCATTGGCACACTGGAACTCGTCAGGGTCGCAAGTAGGCACAGCTGAATCAACGGCAAAAAAGACGAAACATTAAAATGGACAATACTTGGAGAACCTTTTTCTACATCGAAAATTTTTTACAAACTTCTGTGCTATAAACCTCTGCCTCTGGAAAAGCTACATGTAAATCGACACAACCGAAACCATTAAGATATCTGTGATAATGTTTAAAATTAAACAGCACATGAACTCTCTATACTCTGTAGAGAGTTTAAAAAAGGAGTTTTGAGTTGGTGCTTAAATAGTACCAGAGCGGGAGAGTTTTCGACATGTTCCACATTTCAGATGCAGCAAACTGAATGGCACAATTACCACACGATTTGGCGAGAACTGGAGGCAGAGTGGAAAAGATCTGAGATGCAGGGGCAGAGAGTCCTGGGTGGGTGACATTTGCTCATTAGTTCTGGGTAGTAAACTGGGGCAGATCCGTGTGTGCATTTGTAAATTAAATCCAACCATTTTACAAGTTACAAGGGATTTCAGTGGAGGCTCGTGTAATTTAGGAGGGAGTGGAAAGGTGGATTTGTAGTTTTCTGGACTAAAAGCAAAGGAGTTTCTGGACCACGTCAAGCATTGAATTACTGCCGAAAATGCTTCAAGCGTGTCTACTTGATAGATGTCTGTGAATCATGAACAAAGGATATTTAAAATGGCACTGCTTGCTATTAAGTTTATCAAGGAGGATGTGGAATGTTAAATCTCGTTCTCATCTTTCTGACGAATCATTAGTCTTAATCTCGCTTTAAATGGTGTTGATGCTGAGTTTGTGTAGGCCCTCTCTTTGCTCTAGCACGTTCGTCATGTTTTTCAGGTAAGGGTATAAAAGCATCTTTGTTTCACCCCGACACTGAAATCTTGTCACTCAACTTGATTCTGCAATATCTATGTGATATTTCTCTAGTCCATTTCTACTCCATTTCTATTTCTATTCTATTTCTCTAATCCTGTAGATTTCTTTGTAATTTACATGTATAACTGTAAACGGATGGCAGCACTGAAATACCTGTTTGAGATGTTTCAATATCGGTTTTCTTGGCAATAATACGCAATGCACCCTACCTAAAAGAGCTTACTCGAGAAGCTAGTGGTATATTGTTTGTACTGAAGCCTTCCAGGAGCACCAAGCCCCTTGTATAAAAGCAACAGTGGCCGGGTTCTACGCTCCTTCATCTTACAAAATCCCTCCCTCTCCCCCAAAAAATGTTCTCAGTGGATGTCGGGAGGATCTGGGAAGAATGAGGGTGTTAACCGTTTGGTGCCCAGGTTCCTGGTACCGGAGACCTCGGGTTTGTGCACATAGCAAGGGGTGCCCAAAATCGGACAAAGGAACTGGCCCTTATAATAAATGACCGTCATCGGAACAAAAGACCGGGCTGCTGGGAATTGCAAGCTGGCATTAGCAGAAGTAATCGGTTATTTTTTTGAAATGGTATACCACTGTTTGTGGCATTCAGCGCCCGCGGATTATCAGCGGGGACAAAAGTGCTCCAGCACTCCAGCGATGAGCGATACAATACTGCATGCTAAACTGTCCACATCTGTAAAGACACCACTGCCATACAGTAGAGTACTGGGCCAATTTCAGGAACAAAGGAAATTACGCCACACCGCACAATCTGGGCTCTCTTTGCTGGGCAGCAGGCCTGGCTGCAATACCTGGGTGTCAATGGAGGTTGCCTGTCAGATTAGAGTAGCAACCAGACAGTCATTCATGTCGGTGTAAACATCTAGAAATGAAGTTAGGATAATTTGAAGAATTTTGAAAAAGGAAAATCTTGAAAATCGCCTAGGAACTCGTCCCGCACGTGCAAATTTTACCCGGCAGGAAGTGGTTCATGACTGGGGGCCCGAGAGATACTGTACAAACTTACTGCAGCCCAGTTCATCGCTATTGTCGCCGCAATCATCCTCCCCATCGCATTCCCACAAGTTAAGAATACAGCGTTGGTTGGCACACTGGAATTGGCCTGTGCGACACTCATGCTCTGTAGTGAGAGGAAAATTCAAGTGGACAACAGTGTACTGTCAACATATTGCGCTGTCTAAAAGACAATTCATCGGGTCAGTGCTTAGGAGTTTTTACAGCAAAGATATAACTTTTGAAAACACCCTTTGGGCCTTACTCTGAGCAGGAAGGTAATGTTGTATTGAAACAGACTACATTTGTTTTACTTTTATTTAGTAAAGTAGTTTTCAGGGGCCAATATATTTAAATTTCAACAAATTTCCCTGCTTAATTTCATGTTCGAAATAGCATTTTTCAATTAAAGACCTTCTAATGCAATAACTACCTCAAAACATTCTGTGCACGACATAACATTGCTGTGGTCTGATTTTTACAAAATCCATATTTAAAAATAAAAATGTGCACATCCATTTTAAAAAATGAATTTCCATATGAAATAAAGAAACTCTGTAGTGATTAGCAGCTCTATATGAAGTGAAGACATCAAATTGGTTAACTGTATTAGATTTTTCTTCATGTTGAATTGACAGTATCTAACTCAAACTAATCAAATGACCTAAATCAAAATGACACCATCCATTCTTAGGGGAATCTCGAATGTCTCGGCACACGTCTTCAGAAAACCCCTTTTGTCAATTAAATTATGATGTCATCAGGAAAGGATTCTCCAAAGATGATAAATTTAATATCCAAGTACAGACACGTTCCTGGTTGGAAAGGCAACACAGGATATTAAAACTCAAGTAAGTTGAGGGCTCAAAAACTAAAACAAACAGAAATTGACAGAGAGGTTCAAATCCCTCAGTGACAAAATTTCTTTTCTCAGTGCATGCAATGGCATACAAAGGGTTTGTCCATTGAAAATACATATAAACCAAAACACATAAAACTGGTCCTTTTCTGAAAGCTCTGTACATGTGAGGTATGATCAGAACTCTTCAGGAGCTTTGGTTTTTACTTATGACACAGGGGGGTGGACTATGCTGTTCAATGACCAATCTTTTAGAAAATTGGCATTGACTACAAGTAAATTGATCTGTGATGTTTCAATTCAATCCTATGATGGGTTTTCTTGCCAGGAATAGATACAGTTCTGGCTCACACATGTCAGTCTGTGAGCAAAGTTTTTGGCCTACAAGTCTTGGAAATGTGGACATCTCACAAGAACGGTATATCCTATTTTTATAAAGCTGGTGTCAAAATCACTGCAAAACATTAACAGAAAATCTCCTAAACAGGCTGAGCACCATTTAAATAGGTTACAACAATATCTGCAAAAACGTAATGGGGAGAGGGGCACTCTCCCCCTGGCTTTTGGAGGGTTGAACGCTTTCACACTGTTGCGTTGCGGAAACACAGGAATTTGGAAACACTGACCCCTTATGGCTGTCCAAGGTATTTCATTTCAAACCGTTGACCATCTTTCACATAGCTGGTTGAACAATGAACACCTTTCACATACCCTTGCAAGTATCTCGGGCCTCGTCACTACGATAGCCGTCGGCACAGTCGTCGTCCCCGTCGCACAGCCATCGATTTGTGATACACTTGTTGTTGCGGCAGGTAAACTCGTTTTCGGCACACCTTGTATCATCTGCAAACAACAAGAAACAAGGTGAACAAAAATAACACTCAACAATCCAAAATAAACGGGTCCCAGGCATAAACACAATTTACAGCTACAAGCAAGTCAACAAACCATCGCTGAATCGGACTCAAGGGGAGTTGACAACACAGTCGTGTTTGCAAGATAACAAACACTTCGACTTGAAGCGTGCTGAATTACAATTTCTCAGACTTTATTCCCGGCAAACCATTCCATTCCTACATTTGACCAATCAGAAAATTTACACTGATACTTTTTATTTCACAGGTTCAAATAAAGTGGAAGTGGTTTCTGATCAGCTACACAACAAGTTGTTGCACCTGTTTCCAACTATCAGCAGTCTTAATAATAGTGATTCAACACTTGTGGTCTAAAGGTTTGTAAATTTTTGACAACTGTATGTGCATATATCCCCCTTGATTTTGCTCCAATTTTAAGGAAAGATGAACTCTTGAATGCATTAGTTGAAAATTCCACTTCATCAAAAAATCCCCTCTTTTTCTCTCATATCACTGCTTTTAAAAGGACAGTGTTCGTAACATCATGGACAAATGAAAGGAAAACCTACTGCAACTAGTGGTTTCGTCGCTGTTATCGCCACAGTCATTATCGCCATCGCACAGCCAGACTCGATCCACGCACCGACCGTTGTTGCACTCAAATCTGTTGCCGCAAATGTCCGGTGGAATATACTGCGGGTCAACTGCAGACAAAAACGGGTCAATGAAAGCGACAACGAAGAAATGGCTCATTTTACATGACCCCAGACTAGTCTTACACACAGTGCAAGTTTTAGGAACAAGAAGGCATTCTTGGTAAAGTTTGTAACCCATTCAGCTACATTTTATCTCACTGGAATAAGAAAATCACACTAAGATATTTGCAAGGACTTTACACCGTACCAAATATGCGAGAGAGGAAAGAAAAACCCTGAGATTGCCTCTTCAACTAATCTAAAACAAAAATTCAGTTCAGACAACAAACTCTTGGTGATTCATGTTGAGACATCAATCAAACGCCAGCAATTTTGACAGACCTGGCCGCTTCAAGACTGGTACTTTGCACCACTTCCAAATGGTACACATCTCGAACAAAGCTCCCTAGTCATTGTGGCATCCTCTCCCTGATGCGGCCGTTAGAATTCCAAAGGCTGGGCATTTTTAGGCTTGCCGACCTCCACAACCCCCACCCCACTCACCAGCCCGGATTTGCGCCAATGCGCAAGCCTGTAAAGCACTGAGTACAAAGATTCAGTGACATCCAACTGTTGATCATACCTCCTGTCACTCCCTCCCTCATCACTGTTAACAAGTTGCATCCAGTCCACACCGAGGAATGCAAAAGCTATCCATTACAAAAAAAAAACTCCCCCCCCCCGTGAAGTTTAGCCAAAGACTACAAATCACCAAGGCATGTTGTCCCATCTTGCTCCAGCTTGTGTCTGTCATCGCAGGCACACTGTCGACCGCCACCGGGCACTGGCAAGCAAAGCTCCTGGCAACCCCCATTGTTGTTGGAGCAAGCGTTTGTCCCTGTTCAGGATTCAGGCAAAAAAATTTGGTGATGTTGTTAAAGGTTGCTCATTTTTGGGGGGTTGTTTTTCTTCAATGTATTAAAATTTGAGGAACATGCATCCTTTTGTCTGGATGGATAGGAGAGCAAAAAGCACCTCCCCCTCCCTTAAAAATCCAAGCAACGTGAGACATCTTCTGTGTTTTTCACTTTGTTAATAGTTTTCATGGAATACAAGAAACAAAAAATCACCTAGTATGTGGAGAATCATCAGTGATGAATGCCACATCAGACCATTTTGACCATTCAACCCGTTTTCTTATCTTTTGACAAATATCCTTCGTCAAGTCATTAAAAGACACTTCACGTTAGGAATGTCAAGCAAATTCTTTCCTATTATGTTTTTGCCAAAGAATTCAACTTGATAATGACCAGGAATGAGGGGACTGTTCCCAATAAATGTGACCAAGATTTAAGTCTCATTCAAACACTCCAAATTTTAAAAATACATATACCAAATGGAAACCTGTGGCTACACACTCACCTGTCTGACGTTCAGGGTCATACACCCTGAGCTCAAACAGCACACCACCACTGCGCAGTTTGACAGCACCCTGGTGGTCCCTGGTGCGATCAAATCGGTACAACTCTCCTCTGGTGTTGTCCGTCCAGAAGATGAAGTCCCCGTAGTAATCCACACCAAACGGATGCAGCAGTCTCAAGTGCAACACCACTTTCTGCCAGGAAAAATTGGGGCATATTAAATGATGCCCAACAGCCAGTCGATAAGTTCCACAAATGTCTGGAAATCGGCAAATGGAAGTACCAGCCTTACTTATGACTCAGATTTGAATACTGAACGCTATCTGACAACTTTTCATGTTATTTCTCTATGACCCAACCTGCCACACTTGTAATCTTGAATTGTCAATGTTCATCGACTAGAGAATGCTGACCTCTATGGCAGTGCGGTTGTCCAGGGAGACCCCCTTGATGACGTCGTGGAAGGCATCGCACCAGTACAGCTTGCGCCGGTCCTTGTCTAAGCTCAGGCCGTTGGGCCACAGCAGGCCCTCTGTTACGAAGGCTTCCCGGTTGGACCCATCCATGTGGGCACGCTCAATCTTCGCCAGGTGGCTCTCCTCTATGGTCTCTGCCCAGTCGGTGAAATAGAGGTACCTGCACAGTTCCCAAAGGAACCAATCCACGAGGAACAATATTAACCACTTGCCGATGGTATTACCCCAAATCTAATTTGTCAAAGACATGGCTTCATTTTTGGCTGAAAAATGCAAAGTTTTCAAAACTGTAAGATACCACAACCATCGTCTTGTACAAAGTTGGACTTCCAAAATGCTCACCCTTCTTCATCCTTATTGCGATCATGAAGTGATTGGAGTAATTTGTACCTTGGAACTAGGTGATCCTGTGCCCACTGGTCCTTATTAGTGACATTTTGTACTGCATTACAGCTTTTTTAAAAACTTGTTGCAACGTGATTCCTCCTACAATATGAGGCCTCGACACAAAAGGATTTAAGGGTCTTCACATGTGTTCGACCTCTCAGCGTTAGCTTGAGCCTGCGTGTAAACTCAATGAGAATCAGGTAAGCACAGTACAAAGACAAATGCCACCCGGTACTACATACAGAATTTGCCGAGATGCATTCCGACATCCCCCATGTGCACAGGAAAATACGTGCACAGGAAAATATCTGCATGTTTACATATCCACTGGACCAAACTGGGTAAACCAGAAGAACTGAGGTCCACTGCCACTAAGTGGAGTCCCTTAAATTCCACAGGTACATTACTTACTATGTTTACATTTTGAATGATGACATAAGAATTTCTCCACAGAGTATTAACATTTGATAATGCCCGCTGTAATGTGATAACGCCCCTTGTGTTTTTAAAAGCATGCACTGGCACCTGGATACAAGACAGTTTAATCGATTCTGACTGGTCAAGAGTCTGTGTGCACAAGGCTCACCACGCGTACGCCAAGTCCATATGAGGAGACTCTTATAAACAACTTGCACAAGGAATATACCATAAAATGGACGGGGGTGTTTAGGAAAATGAAAGTAAAAGACTAGAAAATTGTTGCAAGTCAATCATATATTGACCTCTTTTGACTCTCTGACTAAAAAGGTATTTATGAGTGGGAATAAATTTGTGCTTGGTCAGTCTTAAACGTAAACCGCTTACAATGCCTGAGCCGCAATCATGTCCATTCTCCTGAGCCGGTCTTAAACCCGTTTAAGACCAGCCAAGCACATACATGTATTTATTCCCTTAATAAAACTCACAGGGGAAATAGCACAACGAAGATCATGAGATACTAATAACAAACTGTTCTTTAAAAGATGCACTCCATAAATTCAGTGTGCAGATATCATTATCCCTACTAACCAGGCCCATAAACATTCAAAAATTCATCCCAGACAAGTAGGGGTTAAGTGGCTTACAAAACGTCACAAAATGTGACCAGCCGTTATGATTCGAACCCCACACCCTTTGATCAGGAGTCAAAAACCCCCGCAACTAGGCCAAATATTTCTCGGGGTGTGTGGCCCAGTGGTTAGAGTTCGCTACTCCCTACAAGAGGAATGGGACTGGAGCCCATCGCACAGTGAAAGAAAGGTAGGGTAGAGCCATACCAACTCGTTTCCCAAACAACGTGAAGACCAACACTTAACGCAAATCTTCTTCCCCTCCCCTCCCACCATCCCCCTCCCCGAAATCAAACGGAACTTTCAAACACAGACTCATGCACCTACCCTTCAGCAGGATCCACCACGATCGCCCTGAGGTGGGTCACGTTGCCGGATATGATGGTTTTGCGGTGGGTGCCATTCAGACGAGCCACACTGATGGTCTTCAAATCATCGTCGGTCCAGTAAAGATTCTCACTGATCCAGTCCACAGCAATCCCCTCACAGTTGCTCACCCCTATTCATCAACAAGAGGAAACGTGTGTTAAGCATAATGTCCATTTTTGACATAGCGTAATTTGACAACCAGACTTACAAGACGTTACTGGAGTGGCACAGTGCGATTTGCCAAAGAGCATGCTCAAGTCAAACTCAGGAACGCGCATGTGAGTGCAAAGCAACCGCGGTTATGGCATCTCCTCGGATAAGTCTATACTACAGTAAAACATAATACTCACTCTTATTGGCTGAGAGCCGGTCACGTAGTTGGCTTTAAACCATTGATGAATCAACCAACTCATTTTAACCAATGTTCCGTTTTGATTTAAAATGTTGACACGTACTTTAATTAAATATGGACTCTAGCCCTTCATAAACGGTATGCGCGATACAACCAAAACTAGATGAGTCACCCCAAACAAGCATCGCTTCCTTCTGCTCTCGTGCAGTTTGCACCCATACATGTTTGTATCTCTTTCTATATAAGAGAATTTTAGCACTGCACACATGCGGGACACATCACAAATATGACTAGCAGGTATTTTACAAAACAGGTAGTAAAACTGATGAAAAACGTACTGAACAAAAAAATATTTGGTTTTTGGAATTCCTTTATTGTGGATTAGACCTTTACTGATGCCAGGCCCGTATCCAGTTTAAACCGTTCCATCAACGCTTTTCTTCCTTATTTATATAAACCAGGCAAAATGGAGGCGAGGGGAAACTACTGGATAATTTTTTTTGTACCAGAGAGTTCAAAGATTTTTAGAGTCCCTCTTGAGGACACCAGGTCTTGTTTAACCAAGACATCATGAGACAGACAGTTTCTCACTCTGGAAATCTTTAATAAACTCTGAACTCTGACCTCCTGAACTCTGAGTGTACAGTGGACCACTGCTGTACTCAACAGTTTGCTGCGTCAGACATCTACCAAAATACCTTTATGTCACATTTCATAATACGCCCACATGTGGACTCTATAGTATAGCTTTACTGCACTACTGTGATTAGTGCTTTGGTGACATGCCTAGTTCATGTTTCTCAATCATCGGATCCCAAATCACACATATCAAAAGCTGTTAGAATTAGAAACAGTCTTGCAATTACTGAGAGCACGCCTAAGGGCACAGCAAGGCAAGGCAGGAAATGAAGGAAACGTTCTGCCAAGCTAGGGCTAGCTACAGGGAAGAATTTGTAATCCCAGGACTTCTGGACCTGATTCCAATTCCATCCGGGAATCACAACTGCACTCAGAATAAATTCAATTTTTTTACTGCCAAAAAAACCAAAAATTAAAAAAGAGGCATCCAATGGCAGGTGGCATGCATAACAGTCAATTCATCGCCCTAATTCTTTAAGACATTAAATATGTTACATGCTCAACTGTCCTAAGATGGTTTTGAAAATTGAACCTTCAAGTACACAATTCAAGGAAATTGGACACAGGCCAATAGAAATCCTTTCTGGATTTAAACTAACCTTTTCTGAAAATAATCTGGAAGCAAAATCAATCACCCTGGGGAAATTGATTCCTGAAATACGTGGACTTATCAATCCAATTCCAAGTTTGGAATCGATTATGGCATGGAATTGCCAAATAATTAAGGCTCATCAAGAGATAACAGCCTTTTTAAAAAAAAAAAAATGAGGCCAGGTGGAACTCACTGTCCTCAATCACTTTCTGTGCACCCGTGCCGTCAATCTTCTGGCGTCCAATGACGTAGCTGTTGGAGTCGGCGTAGTAGATGTACTCCTGGGCGGCGTGGTAGTCCACTGCCCGGGGGCTCTCCAGATTGATGATGGGGATGATCACCTCCAGATTGTCGGATACCGGCTCCATCGGTATCCCGTGGATGGAGCCGGGGAAACTCTGGCAATAGATGAGGAACCTGGAGTTGTCTCTGTTCTCTAGAGGTGGAAACGCGGAAGACAAAAAGTTGGCACATTTGTTGGTGAAAGAAAACAGTTGTGGGTTTTATTGGGAGATAACTAAAATTACTGTGCAAATTTGGCCATCTTTCCTCTCAGACTCAAGTCTTGCTATGCTACATAGCAAAACTCAAGGTAAATGATCTGTTGGAGAACGGGGGCTATCAAACCTTAACTTAAGAGGATTTTAGTTTGATTTGTTTTTTCAGTTAAGTCGAGAGGCTACTAAGGAATATTTCATGGAAGTCCCGTGGGCTCAAGGGGTTCAAGGGAATCATTGTGATGGTACTGCCCTCACCTTCAATCTCTGTGACTAGGGTTCGAATCCTGCCAAGGCCAACATGTGGGTTAAATGTCACTCCCTGTTAAATGTCACTACCTGATTCCGCAGGTCTTCCCAGGACTAGTTGCCCCGGGTTTTCCTACCACCTCTAAAACCAAACATTTTTCACTGTCTTCTCCCCCCCCCCCCGGGCCATTAGTGAAAGCATTTTATAACAGACAGGGCTTTACCCTGATTGAAAAAAAAGAGTAAAAAATTAGGAACAAACTATCGTAAGACTAACACCTAGATAGACTGTCAATTTCCATGGAACTAACCATAGGGGAAAAGGAGACACACGTACATAGACAAACTCTGGTCTCAACGACACTGACTTCCAAAAGTACGTCATGCAGCCAACATCTTAGCCCTAGTTTGCTGGCCATTTTCCTTCCACCTGGTATATCATGACTTACCAATGCAAGTGGTTTTGTTTTCCAAGACAAAGCCCTGCTGGCATCGGCACACCCGTTCGCGGCCATCTTTGCCCGATATCAGGCAAATGTGATTGCAGCCTCCATTGTCAGTTCGGCACGGATGAGATCCAACTACAAAGAAAAGAAGTGGCATTAAAGAGACAAGCTTTCAACATGCTCTACTGCCAAACATGTGTACTACTGTATCAAAAAACACAATAACCACATTTCTCATGAATTCCAAGATGACTAATTACTGGTCTGCTGTGCTGCAAGGCGAGCCAGCTTGTGCTTCAATGACGTCACACTCGTTGTCATGACAACTGGAATCCTACATGATTGCAAAACTGGCCTTGGCTCAACTGTGAGGCACTGGCTTACGAGATTTATCTCTTCCATTTCCTGCAGGATTTCCGGTTTGTACCGATTGGAGTTAAGCTACCGCCTGCAAGATTTAAGGCGCTTGCGGCTCTGCAGATAAACATTACTCAATTAAAAACAACTGCCCACTGAACGAGCTGCAAAGTTAAGTGCAGCAGTTTAATAAACATTTCACGTATAAACAAGAGAAAGTACATGGAGGTAGATTGACTTGAAAAGGATCTTGCAGCCAGAGCAAATGTGAAAGTTTTGGAGGAAAGATGTATATGTTTTGCACATAGCTTCATAAGGTTTCAAACAGTATTAAAAAATATACAAAGTACATGTAGTGATGTAAGTAAAGGAATTGACTTCATTGATAAAACTTAAGCATCACTTCCATTATGGCGTGAGCTCAGTCTTGAAACACTGGGTTTGTGCACCAATATGTTAAAAATACTTGCCATTTTAAACACAGTATTAACATGTCCCCATAGATGAACAGGCACTCCCAAAACTCTCTACTTGGTGGAATAAACTTGCTGGGAAGAAATCACTGAGAAAAATGAGAAAAATTTCCTCTTCTTCCCACTTTTTGTGTCGTGCAAAATTATCTGTTTGGAAGGGTGAACTGCTCCAACCATACCGGTACATGTACAAAGAATTCCTTTACAATGTCCATGTTACAGTTCCTTCAACTTCTTTGGAACAGTTTACCCAATGGCCATTGTTGATGGAGAAGATCGTTAACTTTGCTCAATCCAGCAGAAATTCCACTTGTTTTCTGAGGCAGAAGTTATCCACCCCTCCCTCCCTCCCCCTCTCCAGGGATGGATTAGGATACCTCACCAGTTGGCAGGTGTTTTTGTTAAATTCTTTACATGAATCAACTTTGAAGTTGTCGGGAGAGTGTACATACCTGTCAATTTATGCCAACAAATCCAATTTGTTTTTGTATTTATCCTGAGAATTTCACAAAGCAAACAGGTTGCTGAAATAATCTTCAAATGCCTTTGACAAGCTTATCTTACGCAGTGTAAGTTTTTGTAGGAAAATGCTGTTAGACGGTGGAATAAAGAAATTCTCTTTGGTTGTGTTGGGCATGCATAGTTTTTGGCTAATCTGTGTTGGCTTATCCTGCAGTGGACCGGCCAAGGTTTCTACCAACTGCTACAGCAGTATTACATGGCTTCTTAGTCTGCGCTTAGTCCTGCAAATCATCATATATGTATCAAATACCACGGACTTCAATTAGTCCCTTCAAAAATCAAGCCAAATCAGGCTAGTCACAGAATATACATGTGGTTCAATACATCCTGGCACATTTCCAGAGGCAGATTTGTCAAGATTGGGGAGATGTGTTGAGTTTGTTTTACAGATATTCCTGAACTACAATACATTCCAAATTAAAAGCTGAAGTTGAGACATACAGCAAAATGGTCAAACACCACTTTGTTCAGATGGAAGTCTCGGAGAAACGGTCAACAAAAACAACTGCAACAATGTACATATATAACTAGGCCTACTTTGGGTGATCGTTACTTTTGCCAACAAAAATCAGTTGTTTACAAGACATAATGGGATTATACTTCACGCTGGATGAAGGTGCTGCATTCCCAATGGATTAATGAGGCTATTATTTCTTCCACAGCTGAATGTATCCAAACACTGCCTACAATTAAAGTGTGCTCTATTCCACTCACCCAACGGTTGCACCAATTCGTGGTAGACTCGGACAGCCCCCACCCCATGATTGATTGTGTCGTTTCGGAGAACGGAGGTGTTGCCCGTGAACTTGTTGACCCTGGTTACGGTGGGGTAAGGCTGCCAATTGGTGATGTACAGGTAGTTACCAAAGACAGAGATCCCAAAACCAAAGATGACCTAGTGAGGGGAGGAACATTAGAGAAGCAATACTGAAACGAATCAGGATACCAAGTTTTTCAGAGCAGTCACAAGGAAAGTACTCCTTTGTGACACTGCCAAGAGACACCAAGTCTCTCTTAAATAGAGCCTCTAATGACTTCTTTCCTTTCTTTATGTAACACTTCAATGTGTACCCTGCTGTCAAAATGATTCCTAAGTAGCTAGAGCCGCTTTTGAGTAACAGGCCTTGAAAAGAATCTTGCACTAAGCAAATCAATGGGAACCACCAACGATGTCCACTGTCGTCAGGATATCAAAATGAGAGATATATCACACAACGAGCTCAGACTGCTCTTTCTAAGGCAAACTGAAGCAAAATTCCTGAGAAAAAAAAACTGGTCTATCACTCATTTTCACAGAGCAGGTCGCATGTATTCCAGGAGCTGGAAAAAATGCATGTTAGTGGTCGTAACTGATGCAATGGCTATTCTCAATATAATGGACAATGCATACAAGTACCCTCTTCACTATCATGAAGCAGAGAAAGGCTGGGTCGACATCTTGATACCACTGACTGAAGAATGCAGTCACCATACATACTTCACAGAATGTCAACAAGGACAAATGGTTCATGACCCCGAGAGGCACTGCTGTTCCAAGGAAGAACTTCCCTCTCATTCAAAAGAAAAGGACCCACAATGGTCCAACGGCCCATCCAAATCCAAATTTCCTAGGGGGAGGGTCCAAAAATTGCTGGGGGATGGCAAAAATCCTTTAGAATATTTATGTAGCCTCTTACGGCCTTTCCGAGGGGTGGGACTTCATTTTTAAGCTTTTTCCTTGCTTTGGAAGTAAGGGAAATGAAACAGACAACAAAAATTGCATTTCAGTATTTTTCCTCTGTATCTGTCCTTGCAAAGGTCATGAATTTGCATAAAATTTATTTTCGGGGAAATATCCTTCCACAAGACTTTTGCATCCTTCTTTGCTGCATCTGAACCCAATCTCATCTACTTGGCAAAAAGCGTGCTACAGCTGCCCAACCCTGACATAAAAGCGTCAGTTTAAATGAGATGGACAAGGTATCAAAAGAACTATGCCAGGACAGTGAACCTATCTGATGTCTTACCCCTGAGCCTCTTGCTACAGTGCGGCGGTTCATCCCGTCGTAGTTGCTGCTCTCGATAAGCTGCAGGCCTGAGTCTGTCCAGTAGATTCTCTGTGCGACCAGGTCAGCTGTGATGCTGTGAGGCGTGGAGATCTTGCCAACCACAATGTCCTGGAGCTCAGAGCCATCCAAGTTGGCCTTCTTGACTTTGGGATGGCTTCCGCGATCGGTGAGGAACATCACCCTGGGCGGGGAAAGGGGGAATCAGTTTCTGTGAACTGGTACGAAGTACGGGTACTTGATGTGTGGGCTTGTTAGGTGGCATCTAAAAAAAATTTGGGACAGTTCACATTTCTTTTAAGATGCAACTTTTTCAGCACAGTATACTCCTGGAATGTGTTCCTTGAATGCGTTCAAAGAACGTGTTCCCTGAATAGAAACGCTGTTCCCAAATTCCAAACAGGAAGGTATTTTCATCATGTGGGAATGCCCTATATTTTCAGTCTCTTCCTGATGGGATGTAGTGTTTTTAATTAGCACGGGTGGTACTGCCAGTCAACCATTTTTTTGCATTGAGTCAAATTCTCTGGTTGGAATTGCATTTCTGAAAAAAAAATCCACAGAGACAAATAACTCACAAGAGTTCAAAACACAACCACATTTGTGTACATTCATGTGTAACACACGATACCACTTGTATAAATAAAGGATGTGGCTAGTCACTAAACGAGTCAATCTCAAGTTGGAGAAGTATCGGTAGTCAATTGCAAACAACTGTTTGGTGGTGCAGTGATATGAAGAGTCCTATTATCTAAAGGACTCATGGGGCTCTTCCACGTATCGTATGCCTTCACAGATTTGTGTTAATTAATAAAGAAGGAGATGACATGGAACAAGAAAAAAGACACTGGAGTGGACCAAACAATATTTTCACAACCTGGGGGGGGTATACGTGTCAATTTTCATGGACTCCAAATTCCCCTGTACAGACTAACCTCCCAAGGACATACACACCCAGCCAGTACTTATCAAACACTCAGATGAAGCTGACTGACTGCACAGTCACCCAGCCAGCCAAAGCCTAGCTCCAGCCGGCAAAGACCTTCAATGTTTGCCCTCTGGCTGCATATCCTTTGACAAGAATTAGGATGTAATGTGACTCCTCATGTAATTGGTCCAAAGCTGTCCCACTGAAGAGTCAGATGTCAACCTCCTCTCCCTTCCAAACAAAGACTCAAATTCCCTGAGCCCAGGAGACCTTGAAAGAACCAACTTTTCCAAACCTACACAACGTTAGGGCTGCTTGGTGACATTGTGCGAGAATGGTCACTGGCTGTGATGGGCTTTAACGACTGTAGCATGGCTCTTTCTTTCCAGTTAAACAATCTCATTCAGTTAACTTTCATCATAAAAAGAACTTGCTGGAAACAGCTGAATGACTCTGGTGTAAACGGGATCTTGTTAGAAACCGAGTGGAGAAAAAAAGGGAAACAATGAATTCAAGAGGTTGGGTCCCTCAGGATTCACTCTTGATCACTTTGTGCCATGTTGGGGTGCCCTAAATCGGACAAACAAGTGGGGCCTTGTAACAAAAGACAGTACTGGGAACAAAAGAGAGGGCTGCTGGGAATTGCCAACATTTTTTTCAGTTGTCAATAGCGAAGACAATTCATCATTGTTTTGAATGATTACACCACTGTTTGTGGCATTCCGCGTGAGCGGATTACCATCGGGGACAAAAGCGCTCCAGTCAGATTAAACTAGCCACCACACAGTCAAACATCCAGTGTAAACATCCAGTAAATGAAGTTATGAATTTTTGAAGAATTGTGAACGCGGGAAATCTTGAAAATGCCCCGGGAATTCGTCATGCAACTTCAAATTAAATCTGGTAGCATATGGTTAATAGCATAATTTGATGTAACAGTGCTCTGTACAGTCCAGCCTCATTAATAAGAGGTCCTTCGGACTTTGCAAATTATCTCGTTATAACAGGTGCTTTGTGTTATCAGGAATGAAAACAATTAAAAACAAAGGATTGGGACCTAAAAATTACCTCGTTATAAGCAGAATCTTGTATTGACAGTGCTCTTATGAAAGAGGTTCGACTGCATATTGACAGTATCGGCTGTAAATGTGTTTGAGAATTGTTTTTACAGGTATGGATAAGTTAACTTTGACAACAAATGCAATACCCTCTGTTTGGATCCAGCGCTATTCCCAGGGGCTGATCTAAGCCCGTCTCGATGACTGGGATGAATTTATTGGCATCGCTGTTGCTGACCAGGACCTGGTCGGCCACATCATCCACAAAGTAGAAGTTGCTGGTCACCCAGTCGATGGCAAACTGTTGGATGTCTGGTTGAAGAAAGCAGAGAGAGAGAAAAAAAACACAAGCTTAGTAAACCATCAGAGTTGAGCCCAACTGGTGGAGGGTTTTGGGGACAAAGACAAAGTCAAGGACACTGACAATGACAGTGATAAAATACTTTCTAAGGCATTTAATAACTAACAAAGATGTATGAGTTCTTTCATAAATGGCTATAAATAGGTACATATTTCAATTGGTTTTGCGTAGAAAGTGCTAGAAAGTACGAAAACCTGAATGATTGAACCTGGCAAAATTCCACATTTCTTGAATGAAAAATCCTGAAATATCACACCATTGTCTGCAGGGGAAGCTCTTAAAAATGGAGACCCCACAAAATTTGGGTTTATTGATTGATATAGATTAAACCAATAGCTGGAAATACAAAATACAAAGCACTGTTTCATGCCCATCAGCATGCAAAAAAATTCCAATGACACAATGTTTTGTTTCTTCAAGAAATTTAATCATGAACAGCCCCCCAGAAAACACAATCAACCACAAAATGCACTCAAAGATTTTTAACATTTGATAGAAATTACATGTTAAAAGGTAATCTCAAAAGAAACTGGAAATCAGCCCATTTTTCCTACTAGAAAGTAAGGAAAGATATCCCGGCATAGCGTTAAACTAGTAAATCTCAATAGGCCGAAAGAAAACATGGAATGGTAGTCCTGCAATGCTCACTTTATGGGACCAAAGGGAGGAAATATGAAATCAAAGAGGCAGGTGCCAATGCCAAAACGTACCAGCTAATCTTTTGACACTTTGACCTTTCAACCCCTGCCTACCCAAAGGAGAATCAAGGGCTACTGGTGTAACTGGGCTGCCGTGTTCCAAATTACTTACGACTGACACTGAAGACAACATCCACTGTAACAAGGTCGCCCAATGTAGTCGGGTTCCCACATATCAAATGGTTGTTTGCTGCTGCAAAGTTTATCCAGCAGACCTATGCAATTGAGAATTGAGACATCAAGCCAAAAGGAAAGACTGAGCACAGCATGAATTCTGAATTGTCAGATGTTACATCACTGTAAAACTCTTGCAGATGTTACATAATAAAGCATTTAAGTTGTTTCCAATACCAAATCTTTGGGTAGTGAAACTCTTCTAGATATTTTTGTGTGAGATGGGGAAAAGTCATCCCTTAACACACAAAGCAAACAAACTCTCAGGGGTGGTGTCTTTTTTTTTCCTGGTTATTTTTTTAAAGTGTTTTAAAGTGTATCTTTATTTGATCTAATCTTCTTGATTCTGCAACAGTCTTTCAAATGGCCATAATTTCCTTAAAAAACAACAACAAATTTTTAGCGCTGAGTCAATTCGAATAATTCACTATTCAAATATTTGACCTTCAATTTGATCGAATATCCCAATATTCGGTCATACCCACTTGGCAGACTGTTGATGAACAAACCATATACAAAATAAGCGGCAATAACACACACATTTGTGCATTATGATCAATATGATAGCTTCTCACATCTAGGAGTATCTCCAGCCATGATTTAGCAAGATTTAAGAGATCAACAAGAATATAGCCCTGTCAAAAATTTCTATTCCTTTAAACTGTTTAGTTTTAAAATTGTTGTAAGATTTCTGATGCTTTTCATTTGAATCAGCTTGAAACAAGCCTCCTAAGTGCAATGTTTCTTATTTAAAACAAAAGAAAATTTTCCCTTACTTTTCATGAATTGTGCATTTGAATATTCAAATTTGGAAAATAATATTCAAATATTCAACAATCGATCGAATATTCGGTTACTTGGATATTTGGCACAGCCTCAGTAATTTTTTTTAAGAGGAGGGGGTTCTCCAAAACACTGACCTTTTTCTTACGGATATCGAAATCCAGTGCCATGGCACCAAGGGCATCAACATGAGATACGCCCTCCACATCTACACCCTTCAAATTCAGCTTCAGAATCTGCCCCATGTTTGCCACAAAGAGTTGACCGGGCTCCTCTGCTAAGAAAAAAGAGTCCAAGCCAGAGAGAACTGGTAATTAACAAGTCCATGATGGTCCATTTTCAAACTGAAATACGTCAGTGGCATTACTGTGCCATTTTTCAGATATGGAAACGGCAAACAATGCCCGAGCCAGTGCTGTGGTCACTTTGCTTCTTTTTCCCTGCAGTAAAGTCAAGTCACGGTCCGTTAAACCGCAAGTCTGTTTGACCCCGTTCTCTTTCATCCTAAAGCCTTTGTATAGATGAACAATCATACTGAAAAGGAAGGATTGCTAATGAGCCACTGCATTATTTCAAAGAGGCAGGGTCAAGTGAGACTAAAGCACTTGATGTTATGTCAGTTCAAACAAGTTCGGCGTATAAGAGTCAGGATACCACCCCCAATCTCATGAGACCAAATCACATGACCAAATCACGTGCTGTTGACATACCAAACTAGCTCACTATGAATTATGCAAAACAAAGAGTACCGATCCTTACGATTGGCTGGTGCGCAACTTCTGCCGTCCTTTTGAAGCTGGTACCCATGATCACACGAGCAGTTGTAGCTCCCGTCTGAGTCGATACAAATCTGATCACAGAGGTTTAGACTGTAGTCACTGCACTCGTTAACGTCTGAAATAGGCAAACAGAAACTACAAGTTACAATGCTGACAATTACAGTAAAACTGGCTTAATGGTAAAATGCGAATCGGCAGAAGAACCCCCCCCCCAAAAAAACATCTGGCCAAGGTAGCTCACTTTCGCATATTACTCCTTTCTTGATCTGGTAGCCGTCCCGACAGTAGCACATAGCTCCGTAAACCGTGTCAACGCATAGCTCACAGCTGTGCAGGGCGCATTTGTTCTGATTTACTGTGGACAGAATCAGACAGAGATAGTTATTCATCTAGAGGTAATCCGGGTGATGCCTAACCAAAAAAAACCCACCAAAGTATTTTTGATAAAGTTGTTAAAAAATAATGCAGAGAGAGAGTACTAAAGGATTACTTGACAAGTTGTTAGATTCAGTGAACTATGCTTGACATTATTCGGCTTCATTAATTGGAAGTCCAACAGCACACACCATATACTGGTAGCTCTCTCAAGTGCTTTCCACAGAAAAAAAACAATTTGTCACAGGGCATAACTCAACATTTGATCTGCAACATGAGCATTCCATGCAGCACTATGTGACATGTGAGACGGCACTGGAGTGACGTGAATGACACAATTCTATTTTAACCACACATGGTACATGTACTTGACAGCATTCACATGGTACATGTACTTGACAGCATTCAAGGCACTTCACAGGGTGTCCAAAAAAGAAAAGAAACCAGCATTATGGAGCAAATTGTTCAGTAACTAAAATGAAGATATTCCATGAAGTGTGTACTGCATTTGAAAACTCTTGTCCTCTTGATAACCAGCACAGTGATGCTTGGATAGCAAATGACTGATCGGGAGCCCAAATTGACATTGTTGAGAGGTGGTCAACAGTGTTAAAATCACTGGTTGTTAGACAGGAAGGTGTAAGTAGGTGATACCTGGCAGACAAAACGCCCCTTCATCGCTACCTCCGGGACAGTCCGGGACCCTGTTGCAGACCTGGCTTGGTCGAATGCAGGTGGTCGTCCCCAGGCACCGGAACTGGTTTGGAGGGCACTTGAACGGTGAAGGTGTCGATGAGCAATGTAAGCCTGCCGAAATTGGACAAAAGGAATGAGCTCTCTCCAAAGTCATATAACTCGTTGGTGTATTTTTCATGTATATTGAATAAGGGAAAGTTGAATTCCGACCAGTTTTACATCTTACAGGGCATAATCCTCAATAATACAAAAATTCAATGCCCAGGAAAGGGTCAGCATGCTTGGAAGGTTGCAAATTTCTGTCAATTTAAATAGCATAACATTCCACATCAGGAATCAATTTTTTTAAAGCAATTGGTCTCTCTCAAATGAGGTCACTTCCTGTAGACTGCTACCCGCATTGACGTTTTGGACCTCAAATTTTTCTGACATGCATCAGCTGTGCCATATTTCAAAGAAATTTAGATCAATATGCATGTACATGTATGTATCAAGCATTTCCGTACTACTTGCACACAGACCTAATGACACTGACCATGCCGTTGTAATTATCCTATGAAGATGGCATCCGACAAGAGAGATCTATGCTAATCCTGGCAAATGTGTGAATGACTGTTGGCCTCCTCAAAATGACAAATTTGGGAAAGGGCACACTTGAAGGTACATCCACAGTCTTTAAGCCTGGTTCAGCATCAGTGTGGTGCATGCTTAGGTCACATGGTCATGTCAAAACGGTCAATAGCAGCATGTCAGACTGAAGTGAAGGCTATGGCTGAATGTAACAATGTAATGTAACACCAACTGGCCAATAGCTGCGACAACTTCCAACAGACCCGTGCATTGCTCTCTGCTCAAGCCAGTCAAGTTTGACATGGCTAGCACAATGGCAACTACCGGCGGACCTCCTCACCTGCTCTGTTCACATTCTCGTCCTCAAAGTCCCCGCAATCATTGTCGCCGTCGCACACCCATCCCATGGGGATGCACACAGTGCTGTTGGGGCATCGGAACATGTGGTCTGGACAAGTTATCTCACCTGATCAGGAAGGCACCAACCCATGTATTAGTTACAATTGTTTGGTACTCGAAAAAAAAAAAGCATGCAGTATACTGTGTTAAGAATTTTTTTTTACGCTTACCCCCTGGCATATTATCTGGGGTGCAGGACTCAGTAGAAGAAAATACTAAGGACCAAGTGCTATGAATTACTACTTCTGGCTAGGGCACTTCAATTGTTACTCGTACAGAGAACAATAAAGGTCATGTATTCATAGTGCCACAGCACTGTATGCTACATTTTGCTACTAAGTCCTAGTAATATTTTGTAGCGTTCGATGAGGTTGGGGTTTTAATAATTGCATGTTCAGTATTTTAACAAGTTTAATTCAGTTGTATAAAGTCACATAATGCTCTAGAGTATCCAGCAGGGGGGGGGCAAAGTTCCCCCTCCCATTTGTCTCTCCCTCCCCCCCCATACACTGTATGTTGCCCTTTTTTTAAAAGGAATTGAAAGCACCAGACTTTTAGGAAAGGAGGAGAATTCTTGGGTAGATGAAAGAATCGGACGGTTGTGGTCAGAAAAAAATTTCATTCAGCCCCACTGGACCCAAGGCTTTAGATAAGCAACTGGTCCCAAAATATGAAGTGTTGTACAGGTGCACTTATTCACTACCGGTACGCGTACATTAGCCAGCTAAATTACAAAGCTGTGGTAATTTTAACTGTGATGAAACTGAAATCTGTCACCAGCTGCAAGACTTTTTGATCATTAAGCCAATACTGTTAAAAATAAACCCCCTTTGAACAAACTGTGCATGATTAGGGCTGGGTGGGCTCACTCATATGTGCATGGATGTTATATGTGTAGGCTCAAGATCAGAGATCAGAGAGGAATACTCAACGATAATCAGAGGTATTACATTTTCCCCAGGATCAGCTAATCAACAGCAAGGATTCCAATTTCCTATTTCCTGGAAAGCAAATGTATGTGCATAGCCTGCTGAAAATATTTCATAGTTTCAGTTTCTTCTTACGACAAAGTAAGAGAAAAATTCTTAAATCTTCCCTTGCCCAAGGGGTCAGCAGTTTTCAATTTTAATATTGTCCACTTTCTACTGGAGACTGTTGCAACCACTGGAACTGAAACCAAATTTCATCCGGGTATCATGTTCCAATTCACTCAGAACAGGTGAATAGACCTTTTCTAACGACATTGCACTGACACAGAACAAAAAAACCTCAAACCATCAACACCTGGCCACTATATACACGTATGTGTACGTGACTGATTAAAAATTCAATGACTGACATATCTTTTTACTACACAGAATATGGCTGACTTCACGAGTAAAATTTTATCCCCGGGACAAATTCTGCTCCTTGTACCATTCCTTTCCCCCCCCCCCGTCGATGCGAAAAGTCCTGCATTTCCCTTAATGTCCCCCAGACTCCCGACTTGTATGAGTCAGAGCAAACATAAGATGGATCGTGGCATCTTACCGCAGCGCTCCTCATCGCTGAAGTCTCTGCAGTCAGGGTCTCCGTCGCATTGCCAGGAGGACGGGATACACTGGAAACCATCTTTACAAGCAAACTGAATAGCCACCAAACATCTCACTGCACAAAGACAAAACACAAAATAATCTTTTCATTCTTGTTTGCTTTTATCTTTGTTCTGTTTTCTTGAATTACCATTCTCTTGAAATCATCTTTTCTGTTAAATGTTTTATTCTTGAGAAGTTTCAAACTTGAATTAATTTATTTTCACTTCATCAAAACTATTTATATTTTGGCCAGACATATGAATAGTGCCAACAAAGTAAAAATGCTACCCAAACTGCATGCTTTTTGTACATGAATACTGTGTTTGTCAATGGCACTACTCCATGACAATGTGAAAAACATTAAATTACCTAGTTATCTAATTAAATTGCCCACCGGTAATTAGAGACGTGAAAATTGAAACCTTTGTAGGTTTTTTCACACACCTTCATTAATGGGATATGAAACTTTCATTTAAAAGACACATGGGTAGTACAGTGTACATGTATCATCTTACTATCGTTTCCTCATAAAACGTAGCTGGTAAGGCTCTGAGAAATAGGCAAGTGACAGATGAACAGATTACAATAAACGCAATAACCTAATCATTATCATTTCCATTATAAGCTTTGTGCTGATACATACGGTGTAGGCAAGCCAAGAGAAGAGTCAGCAAATATCAAATACTTCAATTCAACTTTACCATTTCGGTAAAGCAGACAAAACATTAATTCTTCCCCATTAGGTTTTTCTCTACCCCACCTGCTAAATGCAACAGAATGCAGCACCGTTGAAACGAGAAACCTGGCTCGTTGCAACAACATGCAACAAACTACAACAGTGTATCTGTCATACTGGATAAATCCGGCTCTGACAGGCTACTCTGCCACTTATATGTACTCGTACTTTGACTAATTCTGCACTGGCAAATCGAACAGCACATGCACTTGCATACAACTGACCACTGCTAGCAGACTTGAGGTTAATGAACTCCATCAATGGGGGAGGGGGGGTTGGCTGTATCCCATAGGCATTAAAAGAACCTCTCTGAAAATATGTTATTTTGTACCACTAATCACTGTCAAACTTCACCAAGCTTGGGTACAGGAGTTTATCAGATTTATGGCAAGAGTTTTTAATCAGGAACTTGTGATATTCATAATTTTGATGGATGGGCAGATGTATGGGAACTGGATGTAAACTTTTGAAATCTACCCATCTTTGTTTTTCTATAGCATCCTTAATTTACATGTGTGTAAGTTGGGACAGTCTAATCACTGGCTGATGACACTAATGGCGAGGACCGGTAATTTATTCCATTTAACGATAGGAAAAACCATCTCATCCTGTTTGAGAGGCCGGAGGCAAAATTCATGCTCACAAGCGCAGCACGAATGCCTGCACTAATGACGAATGATGACCAGGACGCGAGTCTTCTCGTGACTAACACCCTGGGATCACAGACAGAGGAGCACGAGGGGGTGAGAGAGGTAGACTCGGATGATGACTCATAGAACAAATGCAGTGGACGAACATTGTTCATGGCAGACTTAATGGCACAACTATTAAGCCTCACATGTACGTAAGCGCTTGACTCGGAGCCCTTCTTCCAAGAGGTGTGCGGGGGATACGCTTCAGAAGGACTGTGCATCATAGGGCAGTAACTTAAAAAATTTTTTAACTGGGTAAATTTTCTGATGAATTACCTCGGAAGTATGTTTTGCTAATCTGTTATATTGCAGCATTTGGGGGGGGTTGTTGAGGGGATGCTTTGTTGAATCTCTTTTTTACAACAAGCTTCAAACAACCCATACTCAAGTTAATTGGACGTTATTACCAGTTGATTTTTGTAAAGCCAATGAAACTGCCAGCACAGACTCAACAAATACATACATGTACCGGTATATATCTAGCCAAAGGGAAAGTACATATTGACAGCCATAGAGTGATCTTCACAGTCTCTGCTACCATCACTGGCCTACATAGTTCCTGAGCACCAGGTTGTCCAACCTTGGTGATTCCCATTCTCCAAGAATGGTCCATGTGGCCCACAGGTGTATGGGTTTCAGTAGAGTGTGTCTTGTCTTTCACAACTTCCTAATCCCCTGAGCATGGATGGGTGCCCAGGGTAGGATTTATGTGTCCATTTACTGGACTTGTGACCTCCATATAGATTGAGGTCATCCAGCCCAAATCACTTGCAGAGGGTAACTGCCCAGCGCTTTGAAGAGAGGGGCAGTTTAAAGGCATGCATCAATAAATTCATTGTAAAATCTAAATATTTATCATAAAACAAGATGGGGGGAGGTCATTCCTGTTGGCGTACATTGTACACTGTACCTGTACATTTGTAAATTGGCTCATAGTCTCCACGGATGCTGCAGTTATATGTACAAAATCAAGTGCCGTATTTGCCCAAGAGCCTCTTAGCCTGGAGTCTACTGATCTTATCCACGGTTCACTGCCTACCATGTCACTTCTCAGGGTGTTTTTCCCCCCTTTAAATTAAAAAGGAGTATTACTGCTTAAAAAGAACCGTCAGTGGCCCATACCGTGCCACAAAGTTGGCAGGCATATGAGTTTGGCTGCTTTGCCAATTATAAGCAGACAGTGGGTCATGATCTTCGGCAGCAAATTAACATTTGCCATTTTGCAGAATGGTATTAATTGCTGCACTGTAAAAGGATGGGAAAACCTCTATTCCATCCTGTGTGAGCACCAAAGATGGTGTTTGCATACAGCCACAAGTTCCTTTTGGGGGGGAACCCATCCTGTCTGCACACTGTTTGGATTGTACAATCTCCCAGGATGGGCCAGGCAGCCGGGCAAATGCACAAGCCCAATTAAAAAAAACTTCCTGCAAGCCTGTCTCTCCTCTGCCCTTGAGGGCGTTCTTTCTAAACATACTTTGTTGTTTCACATGTATATCTACTCTACTCAGGTCTTCCTTTTAAGTCTTGCTTGAGACTACTCCCCACTAATTTACTGATACTAATCCGAGTCATACACTTAATGAGCACAAGACACTCTCCTCAAAGGGAAAAGGCTTTGAGAACTAATGGCTGTGTATAAAATTTGAAAATTTCATGTGTATAACCCTAATAGTCCTCAATCCTTCAATTTCAATATAATGTTTACATACATCCTAGGGGGTTGGAGAATATGAACCTCTATCCATGGTCTACCTAACCAACCTAACCAACAAAAGCAGAAAGCTTGTCTTAAAGGTCGTCAGACAATGATTCCAAGCTAATATTTTATGCCATGAACAGCAAAGTATAAATATAGAGAGGGGAAAAAACGTTGTGTAATTTTTTCTCGCTCACAACTCGGTACTGGGACGTCATAAAATTTCCCACTGTGAACAAAAGGGCTGCCTTGGCTCTATGGAGTTAGGGCATTCGGGTATTTAACAGGATTAAGCAGACAAGCTTGAACCACAGCAGAGAAAATCTTTGCTCTCTGTTCTGCTACCTTTATACTGGTCAGTTACGGTATGCAGACTTCATCTTTCTGGCCACACTGTTCAATGCCTTCTCTCTTTCACAAAACCCTTTTCTTCTTCTCCTCTGAACATGCTGAATGATACCTTGGACTTTCTGAATTGATTGTGTCACTTCTAAAACACTTCTTGAGCAAAAATCCCTCCTCTGTTTAAAATTCCACAGGGGATCAACCAGCCTTGTGCCATTGTGTCATTTCTGGGGATCTCCTAAAATCTTATCTCGCCCACAAAATGAAACAGCAGCATCCCAGCTTATGTTTATCAACAGGATGACAAGTGTTGCATATGTACCTGTGCATCATCTGGAATGTCTAGGTGAAGCCTTTTCAAACACACAGAACATTTTCAGTCTAGCATGCGCAACTGTGCATGCACAGGGTACAGGGCACCATGCTGTGTCCAAATCATTACCAATGTACTGTACACCCATTCATGCTTGAGCATGTGTCTGTGAGTTAAACCACATATAGAAAAACGTTGAAAATTCTGCACACATGTGCATGTCATGTGGGACATTCCTGTCAGATTTGAGCTTTTCTCTCTGTGTGGCAGGGATATGTTTATGTGATCATTTCTCTCTGTGTGACAGGGATATGTTTATGTTATCATTTCTCTCTGTGTGACAGGGAAATGTTTATGTGATCAATCATGTTACATACATGTAACACTTGTTGAGTAAATACCGTCAGGAGAGTCACAGCAGGTATCTAAAGTCAAACAATAATTCACAATTACCAGCAAGAATAAACGGGTTCCAAAAAGCCAAGTCCTCTTTTGTTCTCAATCTCTGAAATAATTTAGGATATACATGTATCTTGCTCATCTTAATTCGTTCATAACTATTTTATGGTATGTACATGTATATTTGCTAATCATTTTTATCTTTTTTGTCTTAAATATGTAACTTTACTTCAAATATCTCTATTATTACATTGCTACCAACACTGTTTTTCTTTCATGTTAATTTAATGTTCACATTTTTTGTAATTCCTTCTTGCATGCACCACTTCTAATTTTGGCTTCAGGGTGACAATTGTGCACGAGAAATATATGTATACGTTGGTGCAAGAGTGAAACTTAGTATGAAAAGACCCACAGTACTAAATGAGTCTCCTTCCACCCATCTACGTGGAATCAGGGCTTATCATTTCACGACAAGTCTCTTTTCTTAAATGCGGCACTATCTAGATAAAGATGTACCTGTACAGTGACACCCAAAACTTTCCACACAAAAAAGGAGATGGGACGGAATGGGCCAACAAACATCTCACTCTGATTCCCCCCCCCCCCAAAAATAAAGACAGATCAATCAAGCCAGCACTTTGATTTGCGACTTTCCAGAGGGCATCACACTTTACAATTTAACCCAGTTGCATTAATTTTTGGGTATTGTCCTATGAATGACGTCTCCTGAGGGAAGTGACACTGGCCAGTGCTATGCACTATTTATGGTCGCAGCATTTGTAGAAATACAAGCCGCCTTTCATGACGTCCAGACTGCTATGCCCTCCCAGAGGCATTTACAGGTGCACGTACATATCTTGTACACATCCCTCCGTGAGGTTTCGGG